CTTCCCACACAGGTATATGCTCCCAAGCTTTTGTCTGCAGACTTCTTGCCTTCTGCCTTTCTCCTTCGTGACTCTAGTCCACCCAGATAGTTTCACTGAGCACATCGAAGGGGGTAGTCCCAAATCTTCCCCTCAATGGACATAAAACTCTGGGGAGGGAGGGTATATATGGGAGGGAGGGAATGTTAAAATATGTTCACAGATAATAATTTAATTTTAAAAATGTAAAAATAAATAAAATAATTAAAAAAACTTTTCATTTGACATTTCCTCTTGCTTGCCAGACCCAAACTCCTCACCCTCTACATGGAATAGCTGTTGCCCCTGGCTTCGCTGTCTCATTAACACCAGCACACAGGCTGCGGCTTTTCCACATAACTGAACTTAACATGAACTTTCTCCACTATTATTATCATTATTTTCTTGCCTCATTGGTTCCCTCAAACTAAGCCGATTTTCATTTTTCTAACTCCTAGTCTCCCTTCCACAAATATTTACAAAAAGATCAGAGTATTTTTGAAGGGTTACCGCTTTCTAAATTTACACAGAGCGCAGAGCTTTGATCATCTTTTTTTTAAAAATCTTTTTTTATTTATTATATATTATATAGATTTTTTTACAGAGAGAAAGAGAGAGGGATAGAGAGTTAGAAACATCAATGAGAGAGAATCATCGATCAGCTGCCTCTTGCACACCCCCTACTGGTGATGTGCCCACAACCAAGGTACATGCCCTTGACCAGAATCGAACCTGGGACCTTTTAGTCCGCAGGCTGATGCTCTATCCACTGAGCCAAACCAGTTTCAGCGATCATCTTTGACATAAATGGCCCAGACCAGACCAGTCAAATGTCTTCCCCAGGAGTGGAATGATCATAGGAGAACCCTGGACACCAGGGCCATAAAACCAGAAAGATGAGAACCCGAGACTTTTGTACATTTGATGGGGTGTCTGCTCTGTCCCCTGAGCACACTGGGGCTTTGCCAGGTTGTCATCTCCTCCCCTGCTTTTCTACTAGTTGAAATTTCTTCTATCTGTTGCTCAAAATTTAAAACAATCGGCATTTACTCCTCAAAATTCTCCCCTCCTTTGAACCACGCCCACTACAGCACTGTAGTGGCTTCTTAATGACTAAAAGGTGTTTGCTATTAATTTCATTATCTGTCACCACCTCCACCCCCCACTTGGGCACAAAGCCTTGAAAACAAGTGTGTAATAAATATTGACTTCTTGGTGTCAACAAAGTATGTCCAATCACCAGTTTTTATATATTTCTTTTATTCTGACATGCATATTTTTCACAATTTAATATTGGTGAAATCAGGGTTCATCTTATAATCATTGACATGCTATAATTTAAACAGAAAATTTTCTTTCTTGAAGGAAAGAATTGATGGTACATAAAATATGGGTTCATCTTACTTATATTTGATGGTGTCTTAGATTCAGTGAAATAAAGTATCATTCAAGCTTCCCTGCAAACAATTGTTTGCTCCTCTGTCTGCCCTAAGGACAAGTCATTTTATGTTCTCAACACTTCCTTAATTCCTATTTTCTACTCCTACCATGTCTCCTCTTTACCTCCTTTAATTTTCCATTGTTCTCAAGAAGAGTCAGACTATTACGCTGCAATAAGCCAATTAATCACGTGATAAAATGCTGCTATATGTTTGCTATAGAATTAACTCCAGTTAAATATATAAGCTAGTTAAAATACATCTTTATATTTTATGGTGTGAACAAGCTACTATGTTACATAAGCATCAATTTATGAAGACAATGTGGTCAGAAGCAGAATAGTGTTGGAATTAAATAAGAAAATTAAAGTACCATATTTTTCGGACCATAAGACACACTTTTTCCCCCCCAGAAGTGGGGGGGAAAAGTCCCTGCGTCTTATGGTCCAAATATAGCCTACACATATACTTTTTTAAAAGAAGTTTTTTTACTTGCCCGGCTCTGTGTGGTCTCTGTGTGCTTGCCCGGCTCTAAAATGGTTCTAAATGCTGCTGTTTACTTTACAGGGTTGATTACATGTGTTTATGACTGTGATGTTGGGTTTTAATGCACATAAAATATTTTAGGACACTATTTGTTTCAGAATCTTTTTTTCTTCATTTCCCTTCTCTAAAAACTGGTGCGTCTTATGGTCCGAAAAATACGGTAATATGATATATTTAGTGACAACATAATTATCATTCTTTGAGCAGCATTGTGACCTAGGAGAGTCTCTAGATTAAAGGTTTCTCAACAAGTCCAGATGCCCTGTCCCATGCAATTATCCTTGTTTACACACTTTCATTCTTCCTTTGCTTCTGAGGCTGGGAAATGCAGTGGTCTTGGGCCAGGCGATCCCATGGAGAGGCTGCTGTTCTCAGTAGCACTGGCATGGGATACGTGCCATGACCCCTGGCATTGTAGAAAGTGGGGGGTCTCTCACTTTCTTTTCCCACTGCTGAGGATCTAGCCAAAACAGATGGCTTGCCCCACAAGCCCTATATTTTGCAACCCCAAATTTTCCTGCCTCTTCCATGCCTTTGCTCAGGCAGATCCCTTAATCTGCACAGGCGCTCATAGTACTTTCGATGACTGTGAGGATGTTCTGTAGATCTGCATTGTATAATACAGTGGCCACTAGTCATATGTGGCTATTGAGCAGAGCACTTGAAATGTGGCCAATGCAACTGAGAGACTGCATTTTTTACTTTATTTAACCTAAATTTAAATAGATACATGGCTAGTGGCTACATATTGGACAGCATAGATCTAGTGTGTCCTTTTTTACCTGTGCATCTAGCATGTACATTTCTTCTCCAAATCCTTAAACTTCTAGAACATTATCAAACCTGAGGATGGTCTTGGGGAACTTCTGAACTTGTAGTTTCGCAAGGTAATCTAATTCATATTGTTGCCAGGAGCTGGTCACACTGAGAGTAAAACTTCTTGAATCACACAGCCCCTGGGCCAGTGGGCCGGAGGCCACAGTTCAAACGAGGACTGGTGGCCAGAGATGATGGGTTTGGTCCTCAACATGAGCAATGAAGTGGTGGAAGCAAGTGTCTGGGACCAGGGTCACACGAGGAGTGTACATGGGAACAGAGGAATAGGTGGCTGCCTGATCTGGAGAAAGGAGGAGAGAAGCTGGGATACAGACAGCAACTGCGCAGTTAGTCATGCTGAGCGAGTGAGAGGATCAGGTAGCTACCGGCCTTGGACCTGGAACTTCTAGAGGCCCTAATATCCATGTGTGCTCCAGTCCCCAGGAACCTTTAAGAATCCTATCCCCAGGAGTCGTGGGCTGTGGAGCAGATCCCACAGGCCCATGCTTACTTCAAGCGAGGTTATGCTCTCTCTTTGGTTGCACCATTTGTCTATTCATTCTTGACCAAAGCACGAGACACCCAGACCCTGAGAAGGAGGTGGTAGGGGCAGTGGGGGGAAAAGCAGAACAACTCCCTCAGTAAAATGTTACTGGTTTAGAGGGCTCTTTCCCCCAGAGCAGCCTTCTAATTCCAAGTGCCAGGATTTAAAGTAAAGGTCACCTTCTCAAAATCATATCCTCTGCTAATGAAAGATCCTACTCCTTTCACCAGGGAAATGGTCATTCACAATCTACTCTAGAGTCAATCAAGCTGACTGCTTTCCTAATCTGAATTTAGCCGCATTTGAGGAAAGAGTCACTAGCTTGTGGAAGTAAGGGAGAAATTATTCTAGGGTGTGGGGCACTCTGGTTGGCATGGGGGCTCCCTGGGATGAGGACAGGGATTGTTGAGGATAACTTCTGGTGAGAAGAATCATAGAAGGAAGTAAGATGGCACCTCAAATAAATTTCTGCAATAGACCCATGCCCCTTCCGCCCCCAGAACAAGTTTTGCTGCCACTAATTTGCCAGTCCCAGTCCCTCTCCCCAGTGCTAGGCTTCTCCTGCATGGAACTTCCGGGAGAAAAGCATTGCGCTGGCTTCCTGAGGGCCTCATGGGAGACAGGAAATGCTTTTCTAGGCAGACCTAGCAGGAAAAGCACCAGCAAACAGAATGGGTCTGTGCGGTAACTGGGGCGTAGAGGGCAGGAGAAGAGCAGAGTACTTTCTGCCAGATGTACAATGAGCAAAGGCATAGAGTTTTCTGTGAAAAGAGAACTGCTAGCTGTTCATTTCCACAGCACGTGGCACTTGAGATTTAATGGATGGATGAGTTAATAATGTCCCCTAATATTGCAAAATCATGTCAGTTACCAGACTCACACATGTCAACTTATTTCTTTTCTGGGATCTCAGCTTTTTTCCGTCTTAGGGAGGCATTAATCCGGTTGTATAGGTTTACAGATGTTTTATTCCTATTTTGAATCCTAATTTTCCATCTCCTATCCAGAATGCCCCTAAGCCTGCCCTTCATTTCTTCCTTTGCCTAAGGTGACCAGGCATCCCGCTTTTGGCGGGACAGTCCCGATTTTTAACAATTTGTCCCGCATCCCGCGGCGTTTTAAAAGTATTACAATTCTATTTTTGCGTTCCATGAAAATTTTTGTTGCTCCATATAGACCAAATTTTTAATCAAGAACACACACACACACACACACACACACACACACACACACACCAGTCAATGGTGTTCTGCTTTACCAATGTTAAAATCTGGTCACCTTACCTTTGCCTTCACAACTGAATCCTAGGCTTCATAGGGGTCTCAGAACATCTGGAAGGCATTTGAGTCATTTTTTACTGGAGAGCTCTCATAACGTGTTCACACACAAGAACAGAGAGACATGACGTGGGACACAGCACAGCATGAATGAGGGCAAACCCATGAGGTCAAGACGGGCACCTGGAGGACTCCTGGGCATCTCCAGGAGGGGGCGCTGCTCAGGGGGGTTCAGGGGCTGCTGCTCTGTTTGCTGAGGGGAGTGTGGTCAGCAGATCCATGTGAAGAATCATAGAAGGAGGTAAGGCCAGGCCCCATAGATGTATTCTAGGCTCTTTCCCAGGCACAGCCTTCGAGCCCTTAGGAAAACACTGACCAATAAATGAGGTTGAAAAATATGTAGGAGGCAGGGAATATCAGCCTGGAGTATTTGTCAATGGCGTGGGTGTTCTGGAAGATGCGAAGACCCATCTGGCCCTTCAGAAGCCCCTTCTTCCTGGCGGAACTGGATTCGTTGCTCAGGGCCAGGTGGACCACTATTTTGTCTTGCCTCTCTTCTTCCGTCAGAATGTGGCTTCTCGTGTACCCAGCCAGGCTGTTGGCCTCAGACTCACTGTAGCTTCCATCCAGCATCATGGTTCTTGAGGGAAGCATTCCACACTCACACGGGAACTGTGGGCAGCAAACATAAGGGAAGGTGTCAGGCACGTCCATGGGAGAGGGGCAGAGGAAGTGCCCATGACTGCTCAGAACCACAAAAAGCACAACCAGAAGGATCCCCAGACATCACTTAGCCCAAGGATTCTCTACCCTGGCTGCATGTTAGAGTCACCTGGGAAACTCTTAAAACGGCCACATCCACAATCCCATTCTAGACGAATGTAAAGCCCCCAGGTGATTTTGCTATGTAGCAAGGGTCTAGAACCACTGATTTAGCTCAAGTGTCCTCAATTGCAGAGACAAAAACTAAGAGCCAAAGAGACCATACAATACAATTCTCCTGAGGTCAACCAGCCAGTGTCAGAGTCAGGACCGTAAACCCAGGACTTGACTGCAGTGTGGGACTCCCCATCTTTGTGCAGGGGTTAAAACATGATGAGGGAGGAGAGTGTCCTTACTCTGAAGAGTTACATATAAAGCTTAAGGGTCATGATGCCTGCAATGTATTTTTAAACGGTTCGACTACACCAACAAAACTATGTTTGTATAGAGAAAGAGGTCACACAATGGGGCAAAATATTAACAATGATGGATGGATGTTATATTATCCTATTTTTTGTTAAGCTGTTTCTACAAGTATGAAAATGTCTATAAATTATAACTTGAAGGGAAAGAAATGGTTTTGCTTAACTCCTACCACAATCTGAGTCAGCAAAGGGAGGGCTTCCAGATGTTGCTACACTGGTTGGTGCTGGCCAAAGGCATGAGGCCTGCCTGATTCAGCCAACTGGCCCCACAGTTCATTCCTCCCAACCTACTGATGTTCATGTTTCCGACCTGGCGCTCAGCCCTGCAGTGGCTGTTTTCCACCTGGAAATGTGAAATAATGACGTTTCACACCTGACTCCTATTGTTATGTGTCTTGAAACACTCAAATGGATACCATAAAAAGATACAAAAGCAGATGGATGATTTTTATGGAAAATTAGAATTACTTGAAGTATTTTTACACTTGAAGAAATCTTTTGAGGTTTGCGGGGGCGGGGGGTGCTGTTTTTTTAAATCGGGAGCCATTGATTCATTATTTTTTTCCCTATGTCTCGTCCCATCAGCCACAATAATTAGGTAGCACATTAATATATTCCTAGGATAGACTAACCCATAGACATTAGGAATAAAAGGTCAGTAAGAGGTCATCTATTCCATTCTTTGCATTTAGATATAACCACACTCAAACTTTTGTTGTTGTTGTTAAAGACACAGGTCTTTACTTATTTCCCTTGCTCTAAATTGAAATGCATTCTGCTAAAATAAAAACAGACTTTTCTCCTAGCATTTTGAATAAGAATTAGGAAATGTCAAAGATTATGATAATTTTCCTGTTTCTGAGGAAAATTAAGCAGCTCCTGGCATGTTGAACAGGTCGGATAATCAGCCCAAGCACTGCGTGCAGTCGAGCCAGACCCCTTCAACCCAAGCAGCGTGGGCCCCGTTTGAAGCAGGCTGAGCTGGCAGGCTCCAGTCAGCGTTGTCTTTGGTGGAGTGGAGGTTGAACTTCGGGGAACACCAGAATCGCCTGGGAGCTTATTAAGAATGTAGATTCCCGGATGCCACCCCCAGAGATTCTGACTCAGTAGGTCTGGTTGCAGCCCCAGAATCTCCATTTTTAATGGCTCAGAAGTGAATCCAGACCAGGTGCTCCTTGGCTCCACTTTAGGACCCTCAACTCCACTGAGGGCCTTTTTCACGGTGGTAAATAGTGGTTTCTTTGTGTGGCAGCAGGAGAGAGATTTTGTGTCTTCCCACCAACTGCACCTTTTTGCCTTTAAATGACACAAGCTCTCACCATCCACCCCTCCAAACAGGTGTCCATTCCCACACAGGCAGCTGGAGTTACTGCCCAATTGTCTTTCCACGTGTGATCTCCCTGTTTCTCTTTAGACTGTGTCGTATCATCCCTGGCAAAGACCAGGCCCCAGCGTACGGTTAGAAGAACTGCCAACTACAAGTTATTTCTGGTTAGTGATTCATGAGGCCACATTTGTCGGATGAAGGCTTTGTTATTTTTTAAACATCTTTTGAACAGGAAAGTCTAACAGACTATAATCAAAAGTGTTTACATTGATCATTTTTAAATGACTTTGGGTTTTACATATAACTCACAGTCATTTAATAATGATCAATGTATAGATTATTGATTTGAACAAATATTCAAATGCTGAAGTAAAAAAAGGTTTGAATAGAATTTGAAATATAAATGTTTAAGCAATTAGCATACTTGCAGACAATGTAGAAATTTTTAACGGGCATAATGTGGGCATTGAAAGACCTTTTGAAAAGGCAACACATCCTCTTTTCCTGAAATGTATACTTCCTTGTGCTAAGGAGCTACCAGCCACCTCGATGGGCATAAATGTGAGGTTTCCATGTCCCTGATCTCTACACCTTTTTGGTAAACACTCATTTTGATCGGTGCAATGACTGGCAATGATTACCATGGTAACAAGTTGGCATTTTATCTCTTACTGTAATTAATGAGTATGAATATGAATGGAATAGATTTTCCCATCCTTTGTCAAAGGCCCATCACATCGCCTTTGATTCCGCATTCTCAGTCTATCTCACAGTTCAGTGTAGTTTCTATAACGTAGTGCATTAAGTATACACAGTATGGTATTTCCAATACTCTAAAGACTAAGGTCCTATGCATCTGAATTTTCACTGAGTTAGAGCTCTGATAAATAAAGGAGATTTTAGTCTAGAATTCTTGCCTTATTTGGCCATAGGATATGAAGGCATTTTCTCTAGACATATTCATGAATAACAGTAATACTTCTGTGTGTCTAGAACCCTATGATTTCAAAACAACTTTCACATACATTATTTTATGTAACCCTTACAATAACCCTGAAAGGAAGGTGGGGATGCTGTTACACCTTTTAACAGATGGAAAAACTGAGGCCCAGCATAAATGACAGCATAAATGTCCTAAGAACCCAAGTCTTCCTGTTCCTAGTCTTTATCCAAAGACTTCTTACTTTCTGGGATCATTTATGGTTAGATGCTAGAACCTATTCTAAAATGGATCATCTTCCTTTTGCACAAACATCTTCTTTTTCTACATGCAACCCCTTCCCCCCTTCTCATCCTCCTAGTAGCATGGGTTCTGCAAGGCAATGAAGGCAACTTGGCTCGCCTTCTCCCGCAGCTTCCGCTCCTTCCGCTCCTGCACGGTGGTCAGGTAGTTGACGGCCGCGTACTCCAGCACCGAAAGGAACACAAACACAAAGCTGACCCACAGGTAGATGTCCACCGCCTTGATGTAGGAGACTCGGGGCATGGAGGCGTTCACGCCCGTGATGATGGTGGACATGGTCAGCACCGTGGTGATACCTGCAACATCCAGCTTTTAGTTCAGCCACTGACGCGGGGTGCAGAACAGCCCCTATTTCACTAAGTCACCCCGTACATTCTCCACCTCTTAAATGCAACGAGAAATCCCCCAGACACGTTTTCACCTCGCAGAGACGCAAGGATCTGCTCCACCAGCCACCAGGCTGTTCCCCTGGCCAGCTGGCTGCTTGTCCCCTTTCACCTGGAGCCCCTGGGGCACTGGGTCTCTGGGGCTGACAAGGCCAGCAGAGCTTCAGAAAGGACCTGCTCAAGTGTGGACGCTTCTAGAGGAACCTCCCCAAACCTCATGGAATGAACACAGTCTCCCTCATTTAAACCTCGTTTTTGAAGTCTGTGAAGACTGTGGGAATTCCTCGAAGTCTGTCTGTCACGCTACAATAACCCTGTCTGGCTGGTCAAACCCTCACATTTCTCAGGGCCCAACCTGATTTTGTCCAAATTTACAATCATCCGTTGTAAACAACCACTCTGGAATTCGGGTTCTGAGGAGGACTGAACCCTCAAGTCACCAGGGAGAATAGTCTTCTCCATCCCAGAGATCACATCCTGTAGGCCCCACTTCCTCAAACGGGGCTCCATCTGTCTAAACAAGGCCAACCAACATCATGTTTGTGCTTACAGACTAAGTGTTAAGCATTTGTAGAATTATGGTATTGATCAGAGTACTGAGCTCTAATGCTGCCGGTGGTGGCAGTCTACACCTCAAGTAGGCGCTATCTTTCTGAAATGATCTGGGCAGAGTTGATGCTATTTTAGGTCCCTGTGGTTTTCACAATGGAGCCCAAGAGGCATGGGCAGCATGGGAACGGTGAAGACAAGAAACAGGAGATTGCTCTTTTGACTTGACAGCCCATCACTTAAGAACTCTGAATAATGGTCTTACTTCTTTGCATAGCGATCAATTGAAAAAATAAACACAGCTTAACAAATGCCTTTACCCAGTGACACTCTGGCAGGCACGGCTCTGCGGTCGATCCAGAAGGACACCCAGGACAGCATGACCATCAGGGTGGCAGGGAAGTAGGTCTGGAGCAAGAAGAAGAAGATGTGGCGACGCAGCGTGAAGTTGATGTACAGACGGTTGTACCAGCCTGGGGGGCAGGGGAAGAAGCCAGTGAGTGTCACCTGAGAGGCAGACACGAAGCCCTTCCCCGTGGGCCTCCCTTTCCCCGACATCGCTCTCCTCTTCAGCAGAAAGTTAAACATGAATGACCAAAATCTAAGCCCTCTCGCCGATAAATAATGTCTTGCCAGTATTTGTACTTTCGCCGTTTTGTGCAGTGTTGCCTAACTTCTCTTCGCAGCCGTTTGGGGAAAGGTAGAACGATAGAGGTCTAGGTTCAGTTGTTTGCTTTTGTAAGCCACAACCACATTTCCTGAGTGACTGGATCTATTTTGTTGAAGCCAATACCACTGAGGCAGGAGCCAAGGGAGCTGAGCTCTGTCACTGCCTTTATTGTGAGTTTGGGCAGCTCGGTCAGGCTCCACATTCATCACAAGAAGAAATAGGTCATTCACATGATTCCGAAGCCTGACATCAGTTCTACTTCTGACACTCCCTCTGCCGCGTGGAAGTCAATCCATTCGTCTTGTGCGAGTCATTTACCATGTGCTCATTCCTCAGAAGAAAATGAGGATGTAGATATTATCTATTTCGTTCTGGCAACTTGAGAATCACTGACTAATGGTTGTAAGAGAAGGACAGGCACTTTAAGGTTTCAAGTGACCCACTATATCATTACCCAGACTCTGGGAACAAAGGTGGTGTTAAGGACAGTGAGAATGTGTAACGTGAACTGAAGCTGTGTGTACCCCACCCTCCCCCTCGCATCCAGCCGTATCAGAAAACGGTAGAACTCAGAGGTGGCCCAACTCTGTGCCTCACAGCACGGGGTACACCACATGGTGTACAGCGAGGTGTTTTCAGGAGCACAAAGGCAGGGACTTTTCCCTTTGTATTCATCACAATTATTATTATTATTATTATTATTATTATTATTATTTTAAAATATATTTTATTGATTTTCCACAGAGAGGAAGGGAGAGAGATAGAGAGCTAGAAACATCGATGAGAGAGAAACATCGACCAGCTGCCTCCTGCACACTTCCTACTGGGGATGTGCCCGCAACCAATGTACATGCCCTTGACCGGAATCGAACCTGGGACCTTTCAGTCCAAAGACCGAAGCTCTACCACTGAGCCAAACCAGTTTCGGCTCATCACAATTATTATTAAAGTTCTCTTCTATTTATGGCAAGTGATACCAGTTTCTCATTGATAACAGTGATGTAAAATTCCTTTTCTTTAAAAAAAATATATTTTATTGATTTTTCACAGAGAGGAAGGGAGAGGGATAGAGAGCTAGAATCATCGATGAGAGAGAATCATTGACCAGCTGCCTCCTGCACACGCCCTACTGGAGATGTGCCCACAACCAAGGTACATGCCCTTGACCGGAATCGAACCTGGGACCTTTCAGTCCACAGGCAGATGCTCTATCCATTGGGCCAAGCCGGTTTCGGCTAAAATTCCTTTTCAAAATAAAGTACAAGAGGAAGTTGACTTAAAAAAAAATTAAGTCACATAACAATGGTGTTATGTGAATAACTGAAATCAGATTGGATCCAACCCTCTTATTTGGAACATGAGGAAGCTCCCTGAAGCTTTTCTAAAACCTCATGTCTCCAATACCCAGGCCAGGCCTCCTCTCACACAATGTTCTTCAGTTCAACAGTGGTCACCATGGGCCTGCGCATGTGCTGTGAGGGGCCCGAAGGGAATAGACAGAGATCTTGATCTTGGTTCCTGCCCTCAAGGATTTTCATGAACGGCCCCCAGGATGGAAGTGCCTAAGATATGGAACATTGCATATTTAAGTGCTAACATGACCTTCTGTGGGAACAGCGAGTGCTTTAGGTTTTGGAAGAGAGACCTCAGTAACTACTGGCTGGAATGATTGAGAAAGATCTCATGGAGGAGATTAGTGTGAGGTAGATTAGTGTGAGTGGATGTGGAGAGGAGAGGCTCAGAGATGGGCGTGAAGGGTGAGGCTGAGGACAGTGACTCAGCCTGGCCGCAAAAGAGGGGCCCCGGGGAGCTTTTCTGCTCTCCAAAGCCCTGCCCTACCCAGGGAGGGTCTGATGTCATTGGTCTGGGATGGGGCCTGAGGCATGTTTTAAAAGTTCTCAGGTTCGCAGTAGCACTATTCACAATGGCCAAAAGGTAAAAACAACTCACTGTCCATCAACAGATGAATGGTTGGTTAAGTATAATCCACACAATGGACTATTATTTAGCCTATAAAAAAAAAAGAGGATGGAATTTTTGCAGATGCTTCAACATGGATGAACTTTGAAACAGGCAGTACAAAAGGACAAATACATGATCTCACTTTTATGAGGTACCTAGAATAGTCCAATTCACAGAGAAGAGAGGTTTCCAAGGGCTGTAGGGGAGGGGGAGGAAAGGAGAGCTGTTGTTGAACCAGTAGAGTTTCTGTGTGGGGTGATGAACAAGTCCTGGTGGTGATGACTACACAGAACTGTGGCCATACTTCATGCCACTGAATTACATATTTAAATATGGTTAAAATGGCAAAGTTTGCTATATGTATTTTACCACACACACACACACACACACAAAAAAAAAAAAAAAAAAAAAACCCACAAAAAACTACTAGCTAACAACAAAAAGATGCCCCAGGTAATTCTAAAGCACAGCCAGAGCTGAGAAACATTGTCTTAGAGCGGTGTTTCTCCAAATGCTGTTCCCAGGCCAGCAGCAAGCGTGTCACTGGGAACTCATTAGAAATGCCGATTCTGGGGCCCACACAGGATCTACTGGTAAGAAACTGTGGTAATGGGGCCTGGCAATCTGTACACACCATCTCTGGAAGGCTTGTTTGAACAGATTGCTGGGTTCTAGCATGTTCGGATGATCCTGCTGCTGCTGATCTGAGCACCATAGTCTGAGAACATTTGGCTAAAAGTAACGGTCTTTGAACTTTGATATGCATAAGAATCACATGAGATTCTGACTCAGTAGCTGCAGCGGTGCCCAGAAATCTGCTAGTCGCACACACTCCCCTGGTGATTCGGATGCAGGTAGACCTCAGGGTGCATTTGAGAAATGCTGCTGAGGTGACAAAAGCCATTGGAAATTTAGCACTGAGTCAGGAAAGGGAAGGGTTGGATCAACAGGAAAGGTTGGAACAGTTGGTGGATCTAAACAAGTTTGACATGTGATTGTGTAGGTTTGGGTATTGTTTGAATGAGGCAAGAGTTTCTAGTGCACTGGATAAATAGAAAGTGATCTTCAAATGTGGCAGAAACTACTAATCATTCATTTATCCTACAGCCTTTGTCCAATTTCATCAGCTTAAACTGGCATCCATGAAATCACATTTCTTCCTAGATTTGCAGAGGGTCTTTCTGGAAGAGCTGAGAACTGCTTTTATTCCATGAAGAACCATTCCATTCTCTTTTTTGTCTAAGAAAACCAGGGAGAGTTGCCTTGGAAACACAAGGAGTAAGCCAGAAGCTTTGAAAATATGTACTCCGTGTTCCAAACAAAGCGCTCTTGGGTGAGATCACAGCCCCTGTGGATGGGATGACAATCCTCCTTGTTGGCACACAGTAAATAATCGAAGAATAAAGAAAACGCATTTAATCTGGACTCTAACCCTGGACAACACTAACAAACAAGCAAGCATGCTATTCCAACGTACAAAACATCTGAGAGAAGACCACATAGTGACTAAGGCAGTTTGCCTGGCCACTTACCAGCTGTGTAACTTCAGTTAATCTTAATTCCTCCTACTCTTGGTTTTCTCATCTGTAAACTGAGGACAATAACATCTATCCCATAGGTTTGTTGGGTAGAAATAGTTAGAAATAACATCTATTCCATAGATTTGTTGGGTAGAAATAGTTAATTCATATAAGTACTCAAAACAGTGATATATTATAAAAGTTATATAAGAAGCTCTTAATAGTTTTAGAAAGTTGATTTGAACTTGCCAAGAATAGATGAGAAAAGGAAATTGTGTGGCGATACATACCAGAATGAAAGAGAAGAGAGGAATGAGGATGAGCCCTGTGGGCATACAGTGAAACAGGCTTGGGCTGTCTCAACGCCTTGATGTTGAGAACAGAGAGGTGAGGGTGGAGGCAGGTGAATAGGGAGATGGTAGGCATGCAGGGGCAGATAGTAGCACAAAATCTTCCCAGGGAAGGGCCTGGGTTTCTCAGCAATGGGACATCTATACCATAGACTTGTGGGACGAAGGACAATGAAGTGCAAAGTCCTCTAGGGTTCCCTAGCTACTACAGAGCTGCCGTAGGCTGAACTGTGTCCCCCAGAAAGGTTCATTGAAGTCCTAACTCTCAACACCTGTGAAGGGGGACGTGATTTTGAAATAAGGTAACCAAGGTAAGGTGAGTCGTATTGAGTTAAGATGGACCATGATCCAATGACTGATGTCCTTACAGAAGAAGGAACTGTGGACATAGATACAGAGACAACACCATGTGAAGACACAGAGACCCAGGGGGAATGCCATGTGACCACGGAGGTAGAGACTGGAATGATGCAGCAGCCACTAGAAGCTAGCGAGTGACCGGGAAGGAGTCCTCCCTGGGCCTTCAGAAGCAGCAAGCACCCCGTTTGTGGTAATTAGTTATGACAGTCCCAAGAAATTAGCACAAGAATTAATGGTGAGATTAGAAAAGAGCTGACACATGATCCTCTCAAAACTTCAAAAATGGCCCAGGGGCCAAAAGAGGTTACATGAGCATTAAAAATGAATCTACAGATCTAAATATAGGTATGAAAACATTGCCTCAGAAAGCTATCCGCCCATATCAAGTTGAATGAATTAGATTACAGATCAGCATGTAAAATATAACCTCACTTTTGTGAAATTGCATAATTAAAGCAAGATGTCTGCAAGGGTGTTTGCTAACTTGTTAGGAATGCTTACCTCTGGCCGTGGGACTTCCGAGGACAGCAACATTTTTACTCTCTGCTTTTAAGTGCTGTCTGTTTCGGGGGACTAGGAATTATTTAAATAAGAAGAATTTATTTTCTTTAGGGGGGGAAAGGTTAAAGCTGAAGAATTCTACTATGTTTTTCACATTTGAGTCAGACCATGCAAAGGTTAGCTACTGGACCACTTTATGAAGTGTATGATTGCCTAACCATTGTGCTGTACACCTGACACGCATACAGAATAATATTGAATGTAGACTGTAATTGAAAAATAAGCCTGGTCCGTATGGCTCAGTACTTGAGTGTCGACCTATGAACCAGGAGGTCATAGTTCAAGTCCCAGTCAGGGTACATGCAAAGGAGGGGGTGTGCAGGAGGCAACTATTCAATGATTCTCTCTCATCATTGATGTTTCTCTCTCTTCCACTCCCTTACTCTCTGAGATCAATAAAAGTATCTTTAAAAAATCAAAATCAAAATCAATAGTAATACGTTTTTTAAAAAGAAAAAAAAAAAGAAAAAAAAAAGTTTGCTACCGGTGCTGCTGTAGAAGGCCAGCCTGGAAGTGGTGTGAAATTTCTGAATTAGAAACTGAGACAGGGAGATCTTCTCATCTGTTTTCAGGGATTCGTCCCCATTCTTCCAATACAGCATCAGATCTTCATCCGTATATGCATCTTGGGGGAGAGGAAATAAGTCAGTTTGACTCCTTTGCTTCTGATGCCGGGTGAAGCAACAGGGAAATCCTACACTAACCTAAGAGTAAACGGTTCTTACTACTGGCAGCCAGCACTCAGGCTCATGGTTATCAAAATGGCACAGATATTGGAGAGGGAATGAGGCAAAGTTTTGACATTAAGCATACTGATACTTACAACTCTCCAGCTCCAAGGAACAAGTCTGGGAGTCCAGGGGAAAGTGGCTGAAGTCCATGTTGCACATGGCAGTGACCGTAATCCTAGGCAACCCAAATACACATGTCGGCTTGTGCAGTGAGTTATTGGTTCATACACCTGCTCAGAGTAAGGAGAGCATGAAGCTGAGGTTTGGAAACCCAGCATCTAGCTTTTGTCTTTCTGTAGGAGATGCTATTGGTGCTCTGCCTGGAACCTGGCAGCTGAGGGTGTTGGCTGCTAATAGCTCACATCTGCACCTCCTGTTGTCATGGCTCTCCGCCAGCCTTCCCCAGAGATACCTGGAAGATTATGCCCCCTTCCCACAATCCACCTGAAGGTATTAGGGTCCAATTCTGTACAAGCAGGCCAGGAAGATGTGACCAAGACTGTGCAATCACTCAAGTTGGCCCAGAAGCCAGCCTGCAACAGCATTCAATGAATAGTAGCTATTTTTTTTTTTTAAAGAAATTTTTATTGCTGCCGAAACCGGTTTGGCTAAGTGGATAGAGCGACAGCCTGTGGACTGAAGGGAATGTGCCTTGGTTGCAGGCACATCCCCAGTGGGGAAGGAGGGGATGGAGGAGGCGCGCACAGGCAGTGTAGAAGGCAGCTGATTGATGACTCTCATAGATGTTTCTAACGCTCTCTCTCTCCCTTCCTCTCTGTAAAAAAATAAAATAAAATAAATAAAAATCAATAAAATATATATTTTTTTAAAAAAGAAATTTTTTTTATTACCAATAAAAACTAGCATTTATAAGCTTCCAGCGGTGGGAAGTCCATAGAAGGTCATTGCCTCCCTCAACTCATTCAGTCTCATCTAGTGTCCCAACCCAAGCTTACGACCCCCAAGGACAGGGAAGTCACCAGCTAAGAGGGTGGCCATTTTGCCCGAGGGATTTCTAGTTGGCACCTGAAGGCTGTATCATCCCATGTAGCCCACAGATCCAACCACAGTGACAAACTCTTCAGGGTCGACGAGACCGACCACACGAATGAGACTGGCATCGCACAGCGAAAGCATGACCCACGGGCAGTTACCTCATGCTGTACAGCACGTGGCCGTCGGGGAACACCCGCAGCATGATGTTCTCCGTGGTGGTGTCGTGGGTGAAGGACCGTTTGGAGTGAACAAAGAAGACGTCGGGCACCCAGATCTTCTTCACCAGCCGGCCGTCGAAGGTCATGCTCTTGTTGCTGGTGCTGGGGAAGGACAGCCTCTCGTCCTTCCAATAGTGCCGCAGGTACAGGGTCATGGTGAAGTCCTGGTGGGGAGGGGGGGGGGGGACAGCGGGACCACACAGAAAGGGCTTAGCACACCTCCTTTCTTATGGGATTTCAGTCTGAAAATGCTCACCTCCCATCCTCCTCCAACTGCAGTTTATCTGACCGCTCTCATCCCTTGAAGAGTGCGTTCAAAGTGTGAAGTGCTGGGCCTCACTCCCAGAGACTCTGAATCAGAAGGCACAGGGCAGGGTCCAGGGGTCTGCATTGAACCCAGATCCCTGGTTCCTTTTACCCCAGAAGCTTGAGAGTCCCTGCTTTAGATGTTACTGTACCCGGACCTACTTCCAAGACCCAGTGTTACTCCCGCCAGCTCGGGCCTGGCCCACCCAGGCACAGCCTGCACCAGGGCAGCCCCTCCAGCCTCAGGCTCTCCCAGAATCTTGGGCTCGAGACCCCACACTCTAGGCTGCCCCACCAACGGTGCTGCGTACCATGTCCACCTCCGAGATGCTATCCAAGCTCTCCACCTGCACGTCCACACCCACTGGGATGGCAGGGCCTGCAGAAGAGCAAAGATCGCTGGTTAAGGCACACTGCTCTCCATCGCGGGCCAGGGAGAAGCCCCAAGCCCCTTCCAGGGGAGTTTGACTGGAAGAAGGGTGAGGCAGGCAGTGGCTTGAATTCTGTAGGGTTTTCTTGTTACTTCCTGAAGTGCTGGGTGCCTGAGGGCAGGGACTACAGCTCCTTACGTGCCGTTCCTGGGCCACAGTGGATATTTAATCCATGCTTGTTGCATGAGTCAAAGAGCTAGAATACTGCCTTCTAATCCCAGGACTGTCTCTGTAGGGTAGAGCTACTAATGTTGCTCAAGTGCTTAAGTGGAGACCTGAGTCGTTGGCCCTCCTGTGATACCTAAAAAGGACAGTATGAGGCCTGCGAATGAGGCCCAAGAGCCTCTGACACAGGGTTGGGACACCTGCATGCCCAGAGCTGGATTGATCCTGTCATTTAAAGTCTCCGACAGAGTACCTTCCGGTAGCTGGGGCCCCGCCCCCTCTAGAAGCCTTTGGACATGGTGGGAGATGAGGTCTCTGTGCAGTTAGACGGCAGTGGAAGATGACGCCGTATGAGATTTCAGAATCCTTCCAGGACGTGTCAGATGAGAAGCACATGTGGTGCAGAAGCAGGGCCCCCATTTCATCTGGTCGGTGGCAGGATTTCTAAAGCCATGTGTGTCTGCAGGTTCCTGGTCTATCTCTTGGTCTGGGTGATGGTTACATGGATAGGGTCACTTTATGATAACTTAATGGCTATACACTTATAATCTGTGCACTTTTTTTTTTTTTTGCATGTTATAGTATGCTCCTATAAAATTTTTTAGATATTAAGATTTTTTTAAAACCTAGAATGGGGCAAACAAGAAACCTGTGTCTGTCATGTGCCTGAGAGTCAGGGGGCAGCCGAACTGGGCACCCTGGGAGAGGCCATGGTCAGAGGCCAGCCCGCTGCAGTGGGTCCTCTGAGCCCTGGCAAGGGAGTGCAGGACCAGAACACTCTGACCCAGGTGGTCTGAGTGGGGAGAACATTGGGGTGTCAGGGGGAGTCTGGCTCTCAGGGAACTGAGATGGATAGGAGGGACTGAGCCTTCGGCCGGGGGTAGAGGAGGAGGAGCAGAGATCCTGACAGAGTAGGAACTGGAAGGCTCAATCCTGTTCTGCTCAAACACAGGCAGGAGGTCCTCCTGGAAGTGGCCAGGGCATTGTATGGGCTCTCCGACGCTCCCCTAACCTCCCCCATAAGCTTGCTAATACTTGCAATCCTACCATTAAAGGCTTTGCTTTTTGGCTGAGCTCAACAGAATGGAAGCATTTTATTTATTATTAGTGAAATTTCATGGATATTTTCTTTGGTGTTAAGCATGAAGGCTAATGTATCCAATAGTTTTATCTTTTTATTTTTACTTTTTCCCTCTCAGCTCTTTTTATTTTTCTCTATTCCTCAACTGATGGCTTAGGTCCGGGACCATGAGAAATCCCTGCCCTCACAGCCATATCCCCTTCTTATTCCAGGCTCCTTTGAAGGCACTGGAAGTGGATGCTCAGTGTGGGGAGGAGGTCCCTCTTTAGGGCTGAATAGTAGCCTTTCTCTCGTGAGGGCCTTGAAAAACGAGGTCTGCCAGCTGAAGACTCTCCCAGTACCCAGGCCTCTGCACCCTTGCGCAGAGCTGTGTGCTCCCAGCATTGCCATGGAGAAAGTGGGACCAGTTCATTTTGCCCTCTGGACCCTCTGTTAGCCGGAGATATTAAAATGGCCCAGAGTTTGAGCTCTTAACCCCAGGTGGCACTGCTTCTTGTGGAAGGAGTGCTCTGCTCCACCCACTGGCCGAATGACCCACAACAGCCAGTGTTTCAGAAGCCAAAGGGAAGAAACGATATAGCCATCGCCCTCTTTGGGCTCACTTCCCAGTGGCCTGGTTTTTCAGATAAAACATGCTGTGTTTATCCAGGAGCTGGTTTTGGCGAAGGGCATTTTACAGATAAAATACATCAGCTTGCTTGATACCTGCTACTGTGTCTCTCTGTTCTCAGGGCCTGCCTTGGCCTCCACAGCGCCAGCCACCTCCTGCGAGAAACTGGATAAAGCCTGGAGGGTGTGTTGGTGCTCGGCAGCCACGAGGGAGTGCAGGTCAGGTTAACAGGGAACTTGGGTTGTTGGAGGTAAACAAACTGTGTGTTCAGGAGGCTCCAGAGCTGCATACCTGAGGACTCACACCCCCAGCTTGAACAGAACCAACTGCTCTGCCCGCCTTGGTCTCAGAGCAATGGAGTTGATCTTGGCCTTTGACCTGCCCAAAGCAAGACACCCCCAGGCTCTCCCGAACTCTCCATTTTGTGGCCTTTCCCAACCTGGTTTTGGGAGAAATTCTTCCAAATTACTGATTTCCTCCGTGAGCAATGTTATGTCTTGAGCGGAACTGAGTCCCATCAGGTGTTAGAAATAATATACCAGGTAGTAAGCTAACGAGGCCTTCACGTCTTGGCTCCTTCACATAGCTGCGGGGTTTTCTGCTTTAAGAGAGGGATCTGGTGAGCCACATAGAAGTCACTGGTGAGGTGACAGATTCAAGGCAGCAGAAGGGAAATATATGGTTAGCTAAGGACTTTGCTTGCTTCCTAATTCTTCCTGCTGTTATTCTCTTCATGTGGCCCTGGAAAGCATACCAGGGGGTTATCCAATTTTTAAATTAAGATAAATGTAATTTTTCCCCCCTCACTGATACTTCAAGATTGAATGTGAGATAGAATTTTCAGACACACCAAAATTGAAAGAATTTGCCAACAAGCATCCTGCCCTAAATGAAGATGTTTTTCAAACAGAAGGAATGTGATCTCAGAAGGAAAGCTGAGCATGCAAGAACAAATAAAATGGTAAGCACATGCTTAGTTCTAAGTGAACACTGACTACAAAGGACAATACTAATAATTTATTGTGGAGTTGAAAAACAAAAACACACGGAGAAACAGATAGGCAATTAGAGTTTGGATCAGAGATGGGGCTCCAGAGGCAGACTGAGAGTCATCAGCAGCAGCAGAGAGCTGTCTGTGGAAGGGGCTGAGTGTCTTCTGGGAGGAGAAGGGACCCAAGGACCTCAGAGAAGGAGCCAAGAAAGAGCTGCATCAGAGACCACAGAGGAGAACGCCATGGGAGAGAGGTGAGGGAGGCTGAGGTCAGGGAAAAGACTCCTCCATTTGGCAAGTGCAGTGGGGTGGAGACGGTGATCGGTAGGGAGTGGAGAGAGCTGGTGGAGGTAGGAGAGTGGAAGGGTTTGACAGCAAAAGGGCAGAAAACATCATAAAACCTCCCTTCTGGAAGTCACCCAGTGTTTCTCCAACTTGCCTGTTAATCAGCATCAAAGCAAAGCTTGTGAAAACCCAGCTGCTTGGGCCCCACCCCCAGAGTCTCTGGTTCAGGAGGTCTGAGGTGGGACTGGAGAACTGCACCTCTAACAAGTGATGCTCAAAGAAGCACACAAGCCAACGTTGCTGCCTTGTCTCTTAAATCAGCCTTTTGCTGTTTAAGTTTATCCCAGGAAAGGTTCTCCTGTGTTCCAGAAGCTGATATGGGGAAGGCACTACGGGCCCCACCAGCGCCCTGGTCACCAGCTGGGTCCCCTCCCCCAGCCTCCCCTGACTCACTCAATGCCAACCAGCCCAATGCTGACCTCAGGGTTTGCCTCTCCAGAACCCTCTCTGCCCTGTTCTGTGATGAGGAGCTGAGCTGAATGGGCAGCACCAACACTCACAGGCCCACCTCCTCCAGGAGCACAATCTGGGAAAGATACTGCTTCTTCCTCTTATAATTCAAGCCTCCACCTGCTAATGGCTCCTTGGGGCCTCCCCATAACTCATTGATTTCCCTGAACCTTGCCCACACTCTTTTTTTTTTTCTTTATTAATTATGGTGTCACATAATTGTCCTCATCCCCCCATTCCCATCCCCAACCGCTCCCCACGTATGCCCACCCGCCCTGTTATCCATGACCATGGGTTAGACTTATATGCAAGCACACAAGTCCTTTGGTTGATCTCTCCCCTTGCCTCCACCCTCCCCTACCTTCCCTCTGAGGCCTGACAGTCTGATCGCTGCTTCTCTGTCTCCAGGTCTGTTTCTGTTCATCAATTTATGTTGTTCATTATTTCCCCTAGATGTGTTAGATCATGTGATACAAGGAATTCCCTTATAAAGACCGAAACTGAGACAAGCCATAATGGTTATGCTGAGAGGCAAATGAATCATTGCCCACACTCTCGCAGGCAGACCTTCATCAAAATCTCTTCCCTCACCCTTGGAGCAGGCCGTGTGTTCCCCGACTGTTACCATGTCTTTTTTCCAACTGCTTTCCAGGTGCTCCGTCTCAGTGAGTGGTCTCCCCAAGGTCAGACACTTAGGGTCCCAGGTTCCTCTGATTCCATCAGAAGCCATCTCCCTCCTCAGCATCTCACAGGTCCCCGCCTCCCCAGCCCCAGCCCCTGCTTCTTTTTATGGCCTTAGCTTCCTCCCTCATTACCTGCAGTCTGGACCGTTGCCGAAGTGGTCAGCTATTGTCCGTCATTCGTTTCCAACTGAGGCAGCATCCTCCCCACAGGCCCACATGAACTTCCACAGCTCACCTCTCGTCCTGTCACCCCTCAGCCTAGCTGTGCTAACAGTCTAAATGCAACACAGCCTTCCCAGAGCTGCCCCAGCCCACCTGCCAGCCTTATCTCTCTGTGTCCCCTCTCTGTCCACACACATGCACTCACACACACATCCACACCCTCACACGTGACATAAGGCAGCTACATGGAGCTGCTCACAGTTCCCTTGCTTGCTTCACCCTCATCTGTGAGCTCCCTGCTCCCTGGCTTGCTCTCCTTTCTCCATCCGCTGGGCTGGCCCACTACACATCTTTCCAGACTCATTGTGACACTCGCCTCCTGAACAGATGTTTCTCTGATCTTCTCTGGGCAGAACTGACCCCTCCCTCGGTTTCCCCACTCCGTCTGTAGAGCATCCTGTGTTGCTCTGTGACGGTTGGTTGCACCTAACTACTTACCTGTTTCCTTGGTAGAACCCTTGAGAATGATATTGTTGCAGGGACAGTAACTGAATGTAAAGGACTCCAGTCGCATGAGCTCCCCAGGCTAGGGAGGCTCCTTGGCGTTCCTGTGTCTCCATCGGCTCCTGGGGGCAGCTGTTTAGACCCCACTCTGCCAACCCCACAGCTCCTGACTTTTCCTTGCCAGCAGCTCTCACAACTTGACATCTGGAAGTGAGGATTTCACTAACACTGGTCTCCCCCACTAGAGCATAAAGACTCCAAGAACTGGCTGTCTGGATCACCACCGAGTTCCTAACTGTCAAAGACCATGTCTGACACATAATAACAGCTCAAACAAACCCCCACATATTGCCTTATGAACAATAGTATTTTGGTTGGAAAACCTAACCTACTTTGCCGCCATTCTTCCTGACCATCCTGACAAACTCCTTGGATACAATTCAAAAGAATCAATGATGACACCACGTCCCTCCTTTATCTCTCATTCACAAATCAGCATTGTGCTGGCAGCAATATAGAATGGTACAGCTGCTGAAGAAGATAGTGTGTTTGGTCCTCAAAAAATTACACATACGACTACCATAGGGTCCAGCAATCCCACTTCTGAGGATATACCCCAAAGAATTGACAGCAGGGCCTCAAACAAACATTTATACGAACATGCTCAAAGCAGCATTACTCACAATAGTCAAAAGGTGGAAACACACCAAATGCCCATTCGCAGAGGAGGGGACAGAGAAAGTGTGATATACTCAGACCGTGACTATTACGTGGCCTTATAAGGGAAGAAAATGCTGTCACGTGCTACACCGTGGAGAAATTTTGAAGACATTATGCTAACTAAATAAGCCAGTTACAAAAGCCAGTCAGAAACGGTATGAATGCCACTTACATGAGGTGAAATCATAGAAATAGAGAGTGGAAGGGTAGTTACAAGAAGCTGGGGGAAGAGGGCAGTGGCAGCTATTGCTTGATGGTATGGAGTTTCAGTCCGGGAAGATGAAAAAGTTCTGGAGATAGAAGGTGGTGGCTTACCATGAATGTGCTTAATGCCTTAAAAACGGTTAAAATGGTAAATGTTCTGTTACGTATTAGCACAATTTAAAAAATACATTTAAATGTTAAAAAATCAGCATTACAATATTTTCCCTAACAAATGGAGAAGCCCTGGAGGCTCCTCTCACAGAGACACACCAGGCAGCTGGGGCTTAGACAACGTATTTGCATTTCTACTGATCCCTGGGATTATTAGGAAGCGGCCATTAAGCTTTTCTCTCTCCACACTGCAAAGGTCATCCAAGGGGTATCTCGTCTTAGATAAATGTCTCTCTGTCAAATACCTTCCAATAGCAATCCACACCAAAGTCCCTTTCAGGGGAAATGAAATAGGAATGAGAAGACAAGCCCCACAACTGCTGCAGGACATCTCTGTTCAAACAGCTGCCAGTGTGCGCGAGAGCTAAGGGCGGGCCGGGGTTAGGCTGGGCCCCCCCAGGGCAGCGAGGGCCCTGACTCTGCTTACCGGGCGCCTGGCACAGGCTACCCCCCAGGAAGCAGTGCCTTCTGTTACTTGCAGAGTCCCCGTGTGCTGCCTGCAGCCTCCCCCTCACCACCCACCGCTCCTGGCCCGAGTGCCTGGCCAGGAGTGAGGTGCATCCACCGCGAAGGCTCCCTGTATCTAAGCCATCCCCAGAGGCTCCCGGGATGGAAGATGGATCAGTCATCGGCACTGCAGGCGACGGGAAGGTCCTTCTGAGATGGTCCCATCCTGCCTGCTGGGCCAGGACTCCAGGAGTCACACATAGCACTTCTTGTTTTTAGGCTTGGCGGGGGGCAGGGTCTGACTCCTCACTATGTGCTCCCTTTCCCCTCTTCTTGCCAAGTGACATCTGCACACCCAGGAAAGCCTCACGAGGAGGCCCACTGCCCAGAAAGGAAGCAGGAGTGGCCCCCGCTCCATGCGTTAGTGACTGAGATCACAAGAGCCTCAGGTCTCACTGCACCCGCTGGAGGGGACGCCTTCCTCCTCCTCTGCAGCGTCCAGCGCAGTGAGGGCCCTCCCCAGCCTCAGAGGCTCACCAGGCAGGCAGGGGCCTAGCCCGCCCCTCCACACGCTGCTGGGCCCTGCTCATGGGCCCGGTGGCTGCAGGGATTAGGGCACCTAATTTGCTCCTTAACACGGTTTGAGGGAGGAGCATCCTGCAGGGGCAGCAGCCTGCTGGATGGTTCTGCTCAGAGCGGGGTTCTCTGGGAGATGACGGGGCTTCCCCGGCCATTCCTGAGAACGGCTCCCGGCCCTCCAGCTTCCTCCCAGAGGAGGGCATTTTTTAGAAGGCTTTTTCAGGTTTACAGCTGAGAAAAAAACAAGTTCTGCCCCAGCTGTTCTGTGGCTATCACTTCACCCGCTGGAGCCACATGCACAGGCGGGGCGATGGCCCTGCATCTCCCTGCTGCTGCTCTCTCCCCGCTCCCTGCTGGCTGGACAGAGCAGACAGCTGGGAGCCGCTCCGGCCCTCCTGTGGCATTTCCCCAGCTCCCCAAGGGACAGCCTCCGGCCATGCCACTCCTCCCTGACCCCCGGAGCAGGGAGGCTCCTTGGGGACAAGTTTGCAGAGGGGCTTTGTCACGGGGCTTTTGCTAAGTGATTGTTGCTGCATGGAAACGCAGGTGGCCTCCTCCAACTCCAAATGTCCAGCTGGGCACAGGGTGCCTGAGTCAGGGAACCGCCTTGTGCCCAGACCCTCCTGGCCAGCTCTTCCTTGTCTGGAAAAGCTGGCAGCGGCGGGGCCTGTCCTTTCTGAACGTACACAGCTCAGTCACACCCGCTCCTCTGCAGTCAACAGCCCTCTCCACTCCCTTTTCCCCAGCTCCTGCTTTCCAGGGAAACTTAGTGACTCGTCAGGCTGATCTGACTCAGTGAGAAGACCCAGGGGTGGGGGTGAGGGTGCGGGGCGGGAGGCAGGCCTGAGAGAAGGATGGAGCATGGCAGCACCTGGGGGCCGAGCCCCCCAGGCCAGGGGAAGGACCCCGTCCTACCTCCAAAGGCAGGCCTCATGGCGAAGTCGTGGTCCTCCACGCGCAGGAGCGGCCTGCCCTCCTCTTTCCGCATTTTGGTCACGTCCAGGTTCTTCTTAGACAGGTGACTGCGGAGACAAGCGAGACACACTTTTCCGTGGCCCGCCAGGCGCGGAGTGAGTGGCTGGAGAGCTGACTTTTCGAAAGGACTGTCCCTGGGCACATTTTCTCCATCGGGCTCAGACACACAGACACCTTCCTCCCCACCCCCCTCCCTGCCCCAGGCTCTCAGAGACCCGGAGGACCAGACCCTAGAGTAGGGGTGTCGAACTCAATCAGAGAAGGGGCCAAAATCTAAAATCCAGCCTAAATCAAGGGCCGAATGGTTTACTGAACAGTCATAAACTGTCATTGTGATGGAAAGGCAGCGGAGTGCAGTGATGACAGCGCGGTGCGGGCCACATTGCAAGGCCTGGCGGGACGGATTTGGCCCGCGGGCCTCGTGTTTGACACATGTGCCCTAGAGCTTGCGAGAGGAAACACCTCCCTGGCAAGCTCTTAATGGCCAAAGGTTATGCCTAGAGCAGTGTTTTTCAACCTTTTTTGGGCAAAGGCACACTTGTTTCATGAAAAAAATCACGAGGCACACCACCATTAGAAAATGTTAAAAAATTTAACTCTGTGCCTATATTGACTATATATAAAGTAATTCTCTTGAATAGGAATCAAATAAACACAAAGAAAGTATTTTATAATTACTTTATTATGAAATATTAAGTAAACAAAATAGTGAAAAATTATAAAATTCTTGTCTTGTCTGCACCTACGGCACACCAGGCCACATCTCGCGGCACACAGTGTGCCCGGAACAGCGGCTGAAAAACGCTGGCCTAGAGGACAGTTGGGTTGAATGGTGGAGGAATTAAAGTGTGGGTTTTTATTCTTTTTAGACATTTCTTTTAGGTTGTGATTTGCAAACCCAAGCTGACATCCGTCCAGCTGGCCCAGAGCCTCTGTCCGTAGCCAGCAGGGACGAAGGCCAAGCTGGACATGCAGTGGCTCCCGCCGCCCGGGTGGAAGCCGGAGCTGAAGGACCCTGGTCCACTCCCTTCCCTCTAACCCAGGCGACAAAGGAGGAATTCTCTCTTCTCTCTCCTTCTCACTCGCTCTTTCCAGATGTTTTCTCTCGCCCCCCCCCCCCCCCCCCCCCCCCGTACATAATCCTAGAGAAGTCAAGTCCAAAATGTTCTAAAGCAGTATTCTACTGACTGGAGTATCACTAAGCGAAGAAAGAAAGATGAGGGGAAGGAGATAGAGATGGGGAGAGAGGGGAGGGAGAGAGAGAAGAAAGGGAAGAAGGGAGAGACAGAAGGAAGGTCATCCTGAGCTACAAAGCAGCTCCACCTGAGGCATACAAAGATGTTTTACCTGCTCAGCTGTCAGCTACCTGCCTCACATCAAAACGCTTTGGCCGAACACAGACATCGGAATGGGGGCTCGACCCAGTCCAGCTTTGCTCTCTCACCTCGGGTGACATGAGAGTGCTTGTGCCCCCCCGCCCCCCCACTCACCCACTTTACCTTGGCTTGGGCATTTCCAAATGCCCCGTCCCTCTCTTCCTCCTGGGCTTTCTGCTGTCCACAAGAACCACCAGGCAAAACAAGAACAAAATGAGTTTCGTAAGATAAGGCATTTTGCGAAAGTCTACGATGCCACAAGCTGCTTTCCAGTGACCTGCGGCGGGGCCAATCCCCGCTGGCTTAACCATTGATGCGGTGCTGCCGCGTGACAGCGCTCCTCGGAGGGGCCGTGTGGGCGTGGCCGGCCAGACTGATTTTCCCGAATTAATATTTGATACCGATGCTTGTCCCATGCCCCTCCCCCCCACTCCCCAGGACCCTCCCTGCTGCTTAGTGATTGGTCACTAGTCAACCAGTTTGTCCTCCTGAGGAACTCTGCCTCCGCTGAGCTCTAAAACAGCTTTGGCTAAAACTGTTATATAAAAAAAATTAAATCTCTGGGACATGCCAGCCTTTTGCTGAAATCATTAATCCACTGCTCTGGCTACGTAAAACCAGCCTGTCACTTGGTCCAGGGAGTCAGCTTGGACTCGGAGTGGATTTGCAGGAAGACTTCATGGACATGGAGACGAGTGAATGAAGATGCTCAGGAAATGCTGAGTAAACACACCCATGACCTGTTGTCACGAGGTTGCTTTCTTTCTTTCTTTTTTTTTCTTCTTTTTTTTAAATATATCTTTTTATTGATTTCAAACAAGAAGGGAGAGGGAGAAGGAGATAGAAACATCAATGACGAGAGAAAATCATTGGTTGGCTGCCTCCTGAGTGCCTTGTACTAGGGATTGAGTCCACAACCTGGGCATGAACTCAGGAAGCGAACTGTGACCTCCTGGTTCATAGGACAATGCTCAACCACCGAACCACACAGGCCAGATGGTTGCTTTTTTTTTTTTTTTCTTGATCTAAGAGACTGTGCTTTGCCAAAGAGGCTTGCTTTCCCCCATACATACATCAATTTTTTCAGTGAAAACACATCTTATCAAAATACCAGAGGCCCAATGCACAAAGATTCGTGCAAGAATGGGCCTTCCTTGCCCTGTGTGCTGGCACCGCCTTCACTCTGGCTGGGCTGCCTTTCCTCTCACCTTCCCACGTGGCCCAGAGGCCCGGAGCAGTGGGGATGGTGCAGAACGCCTGGGTCCCACCCCACCCTTAGCACCTTCATATGCAAATTAACCCATAATCTTTGTTGGGTTGATTTGCATACTCACTCCTGATTGGCTGGTGGGCATCACGAAGGTATGGTCAATTAGCACGTTACTCTTTTATTAGGTAGATAAGATACATTTTCATTTTGGAAGACCTCATAAACCAAAGACTCCAAGATAATATACTATTGTATTATTGTATTTAGTAAAGCTGCTCTTCCTATCATGAGCATTAGGTTAACTTTGGCCTTTAATCCTAAAATGTTATAATGTTAAACATCATAAATTAGGCTTGATGCCTATCCTAAGATATGGAATTATGAACATCAGAAGTATAAAGATACATGTGGTTATGTTTAACCTACCGACAGAATAAAATGTTTTCAAACTACTGGCTGCCGGCCTGCTGCCTCTGGGGATGGAGACAACGCCAGTGTGGTAGATACTTAGGGAGATGAGGATGGAGGTCAGGAGGAGCAAGAGCCAAAAGTGAAACCAAGTTGGGCTTTTCTTAAGTACGAAAGAATCAAAAGAGCTGCTTTTGATTCCTTAGCAAACTGGAATGACATGATCTGCTTCATTTTTTCAGAAATTTCTAACTAGAATCAGTTGAATCAGGGAAGTTACAATAATGAAAGAGGATGACGTCCTGCCCTAGAAAGGAAGAGGAATGAAGAAGAGAGAACATAGTCGTTATTGCTGAAGCAGAATATATTTGGTGACTGAATGGAGTAGGAGGAAAGAGAAGTCAACAATGACATTGAGGTTCTGGCTTGGAGGTGGGTCTGGTGATGGTACAACCATTACTTGCTGTTCATCAGAGATGGGAAAGTTCGGTGGGGAGAGGAGATAAGTTTTGATGGTGAAGTTAGAGGTGCCATGGGACCTCGAGGCCCAGTAGGCAGCTGGACTATAAGCTTGGAACTCAAGAGAAAAATCTAGCCTGGAGAAACAGATTTTTCTGTTTTTGGTGCCATCAGTGCCTGGTGATAATTTAATCACAGGAAAGGGTGAGAGCTTCCAGGGTCCATGTCCGGGCACAGAACCCTGGAGAAGCTGCACTTTTAAAGGATGGATGGGCTGTCAGAAGAAAAGCCTAGAACTAGCAAAAGAGGTTGGTTATGAAAACTGAAGGAGAGTTTCAAGAAGGAGGGTAATCAATAGTCAGTGGTGAGAGGTGAGGGTGGGAAACAGGTTGCTGGATCTGACACCCAGAAAGAACATCATGCCTAACTTCGGTTGACCATAGTTTCAGTTATGAGATGTGGCAGGAAGCCAAATTACAGCGAGTTGAATAGAAATTTGGGGAGTGGGAATAATTCAGTATGGGAGCGAGTTCAGTAGTTCCCAAACCTAGCCACTCCCTAGAATTATCCAGGCAATTTGTTAAAAACCCCCACTCCTGCCAAAGATTTAGTGATAAGGGGAGAGACCTATTAAAGTTCTTTTTCCATAGATTTTGTTCAAAAGAGCTCTCTTCTTTTCTTCCATTTGGAACACAAGTCTATAAAGGACTGGCTGGAACCCTTGAATTGTGCCGGATATTGGTTTTCAAGAAATATTTGTTTCGCTGCATTGCAGATACAACTTTAGATCCTACACATTTCTAAAAACTATTTTCAGTAGTTCAATTATGTAATTACAGTAGAAAGAAAATCACAGTTGTAGATGGTGTAACTTTTTTTTATAGCACCTTTACTAAAATACCATTCACATGCCATAAATTCTCCTCTTTTAAATTGTGATGTTGTGCAACTATCACCGCTATCTAATTTTAGGACATTTTCATCTCTCCAAAAGAAACCTCACTCAGAAACCTTCCCTTCAGTCCTGGCAATCAGCAATCGACTTTGCCTCTCTGGATTTGCCTATGCTGGACATTTCATACAAATGGAATCATACAATATGTAGCCGTTTGTGGCTGGCTTCACATACTTAGCATAACGTTTTCAAGATTTACCCATGTTGTAATATATATATATATATATATGGAGCCGAGTCCCCTACCGACCTGAGAATCGGGGGATGGAGCAAGGGTAGGTAGCCCTGCCTGCTCTCCCCCAGGAGTTGGGTCACTTGGGGACGTGGCAAGCAACAGCGTCCTTCGTTCTGCTGTGCGTGCAAGATTGGAATCTGCAAACATGTCCTTGATTTAACATAGCAGAGTACAGCCGGATGAACTTTTCCAGCCAGATATCTTCCCGCATAGGTCTTAAGGAACTGGCACGTAGCATCATGTCCTTGGAGAAAGCCATTTGGAGGAACGCCCAGCTTTAGTGTATAAAAGAGATTGTGCCCTTAATAAACTTGCTGCAGTGCTATTAGGCTTTGCAGTCCTCCTGAAGCCCCGCTGTTCCTGTCTTTTCTTTTTCTCAGCCTCCTAGCCATACCTTCAGGACCTGTAATACCGGCTGGATCCGGTATATATATATTTCATTTTTATTACCAAATAATATTCCACTGTATAGATATAACACATTGTTTATCCATTCATCAGTTGATGGGCATTTGAGTTTACAGTTGGGGGCTCTTAATAATAATGCTGCTATGAAAATTAGCATACAAGTTTCTCTTGCATATTAGAATTGCTGTGTTAATGGTAACGCTATGTTTAACTTTTTGAGGAATTGTGGCTCTACCACTTTCCATTCCTACCAACAGCCTGTGAGAGCTCCCGCCTCACCAACACCCTTTTCATTCTAGTCTCACGGGGAGTGTGAAGTGCTGTCACTGTGGCTTTGATGTGTATTTCCGTGTAGTTTTGACACTTGTGCATCTTCTTTGCACAACTGTCTATTCAAATATTTTGCAATTTTAAAATCAGATTGAGTCACAGGAGTTCTTTAGATATCTAGATACAAGTCCCTTATCAGATATGTTATCTACAGATATTTTCTCCCATTCTGTGTTGTCATTTCACGAAGTAATTTTTAAAACAGAAAAGTTCCGTTTCGATAAAATATAATTTAACCCTTTTCCTTTGGTTGTATGTGCTTTTAATCTAAGAAACCACTGCCTAACCTATGGTCTCAAGGATATACTGTTTTCTTCTAAGAATTTTCTAGTTTTGACTCTTGACATTAGGTCTCAGATTCATTTTGAGTTAATTTTTGTATGTGATGTGAGGCAGTGGCTGTATAGCTTTGTTTGTTCATTTCTCTCAGGACGGAGGGCAGGCCCGTGGCTCGGGCTGAGCTGTGGGACAGCCTAGTAGCATTTGCTGAGTTAGATTAGGCCACAGAGCTAGGTGAGCCTCTGGCCACACACAGCCCTGTGTCCTATACATGGAGCCTGTAAGAGCAACGGAGATGGGACAGTCAGGTCTGTGCACTGGCTGCCGTGTCAGGAATGGGGCGAGAGCAGAGACCTGTTAGAAGTTACTGCACTGATTCGGAGATGATGGCTAATTAGTGAGCAAGAACTGAAAAGGTGGAGAGAATATTCAAGGACAAAAAATGGACAGAAGACCAGGTGACATAAAGAATACAACCTCTGGTCAAAACAAAGTATGAATAAAGTCACTGGTTTTATTGAGCAGCTCAAACTAGTTCTGAAGGTTAACGAGTTCCAAACAGTTTTTGAGCAATGTACAGCCACCCATAGGCTTTCATATTGCTAAAAGTCAGGTTCACTAAAAGAATTCGCCTTTCATATACTTATTTGCAAGTAATAAAACAATATAGGCTTTTCAGTACTTCAGCCCAGATTTCTGCACAAATAAGTCTAAATGTGTGATGTTTGCTTATTTACTGATTCTGGGGTATATAAATGGGAGGTCTCAATATGCCAGAAAGTTTAGCCATAGCTTAAAATAAGAAAAAGATTTCTTATCTTCCTGAAATAGAAATTTTATATTTCCATAGTCAAAATAATGATCAAATGTTAAAGGATTAAAAAAAAATAGTTGAGAATTTTGATGAAATTTATTTATTTCAGAATAAAAACAATCAGCAGCATGAAAATGTAAAGTGCCACATAAAAGCCCCACAATACATAAAATCGGAAAGATTTCATTTGCTTAAACAGTTACAGATGAAACAGACATTATATATCTCTTCAAGCATGCTAATTTGAACTACCTTAGTATGTAGCCATGTGCTATGTTGGCCAAAGAAAAAGTCACTGAGTTACATAAATCTGAAGACTGGCGAAAGAATGAGTCCTAAGCCTTTACCTGCCAGATCGTATGTTTGATTTTGTCTTTACGCTGTAAATAAAGGGTTAAAGTGCGGCTTTAAAAATAAGTTTGCTGAAGAGGCCTATCAGGTGGAGTGTCAATAAAAATGGCCCCAAAGATCAATTTTGCTCACGAACTCCACAATGGAGGTCAGACTGACAACTTAAGGATTTTTAAGTAACATAGTTAAGCTGAAAGGAAGGAGCATAAAAGATGCCACTTTAACTATGTGTTATTAGTGTTAAAAATAAATCCTAACACAAAGAAGGTGGTCTGTCATTTGACACGATGGAAGAGAAGCTAATTGGACAGAAAAGGATCTGCACAATGTAAAATTTCTTGGCTTAGTTAATTTGAAAGTATGGGTACATCCTATATCCCATGGAAACATGCAATAAGATCACAAAGCTTCAGAGGCTGGCTCAAAATGACTGAGAGGAAACGGAGGGAAGACTGTTTCTAGCATAAGATTCATCTCCACATAATTTTAGTTGGTGCAGGGATTTCCTTCTCTAGTGACAGCATTGCCTGGCCTTCCAGGGTCAGTGACCTCATGTTAGACCACTGATGACGGAACCAATATTTCTAATATCTTATGTTCTAAACCAAGACTTCAAAAAGGCAATAAAGTTCCAAAATGGTAATTATAATTTCCTAACATATGAGGTCTTCATAAAGTCCTTGGGCTTTTTAGACTTTACCACTTTCAGTTGTAGATATAACAGAAATAATCTGTAAACACTTTAAAAATGCTCGTTTATTAAAGTTTAATACAATTACGTGTTATATCGTAGTATACAATATGCTCTTGTTTTAAATGCAGACCTAAAGGAAAAATGGCTTTGAGACACAGATATTGTGTGACAGTTATGGAACCAAAGTCCCAGAGCACAAGTAAAAATTAAATTTGCCTTTAAAATCATTTTACAAATTGTTTCTATAGTGCCTATAATTTCAGTTAGTTAAAACCACATAAGGACTTTATGGATACCATCCCCCAAATTATTCAAGATACATTATGGACTTTTTTTGTGGACTGATTTAGAACCTAAACACATTTACAACATAGAATTGTAAATAATAATAATAATAATAACTTATAAATGCACCTTTAGAGCATAACCTGTTTGAAAGCTGAGGACTGCCTGTATTTAAAAGTTAAATCTTCATTAATAATGCTCTCAAGAGTGCCTTCAATGCTGCTACTGAACATGCTGAATGCAATGTTTCTCTGTAATTATGTTTTCACCAGGGACTATGATGTTGAAAGTGTCTACTAGAGTCGTGGAGCTAACTAGCACTATGATATATATTGATTTTGTACTGAGAATTACTTCTTGGGCTTTGTGTAGGCATACAATTCCAAGTAAAGGTTTTTCTAATTTCTACCACTATTGCTTGGGCCCTGACCTTTTCTATTAATATGGTACAAGAAATAGTACAACATTATGCATATTCCAGAATAATTAAATTTATAGTGATTACAAAGCTAGGCATATATACATCTCAAAAGATATACAATTCAAAGCAGATTAAACATTCAAATCTTAAGATACTCCCACTTAACTTCTAGAATAAAACTAAGTGATTTCCTGACTTGAACCCTCCCTCCTTTCCTTCCTTCCTTTCTTCCTTTCTTCCTTGCATCCATCCAAGATCTACAGAGGATTGTTTTCTTTCTTTCTTTTAAACCCTATGTGCTCTTTGGAGAGAATGGGATAATACATATCAAAGTGGTTACAAAGCATTATTCCCTCTTCAAGTAAAATTCAGTAACCAAGATGTAATCTCATTTACTCATAAATGTTTGACTGATATAGTAACTTTCACTGACAATGTTTAGGACATAAAGTATATCACAGAATGGGTAATCCCAATGTTCCCATGAAGTAAGCCATTGGAGGGGGTTTTACTTGGCCTTTTTAACACTTATCCCTCTATCATTCTACATAAGTAGAAACAGAGTACTGAATAAATGATACTGAGTAATTACTAATACTCATTGGAACTTAAAACACCATCTTTTACCCAAAAATTTAAAGGGCTATACAGAAACTATCACAAATTTACATAAAAAGAAGCTAAAACATGAGAAATAACAAATTGTTTCCCTGTAAAGCAGTTTATATAATGAGACAAGGAACTTCACTTCCAATCCCTTAAACCAAGCAGGACACAGTCTGAATGCGAGCTATAGTTATAACTGAATTTATAAGGATAAAAAAAAAAGGAATGCAGGGTAAATACAAAATAATTTTTTGTAAACAATTCTTAGACTATACCCAATGAAGAATGTTTAATAAAGCAGTTGAGTCACAGCTCTTAAAACACAAAACAGTATTATAACTCAAAGTCAAATATGTACTCATTGGCTAGATATATTCGTCGGAATATAAGCGCTGCCAGTGCCAAAGTCAAGATGACAATCAGTACAGCAGACCCGCCATTATCCGTGTGGTTGTCTCGGAGCTGCTGGCCCTGGATGACATCTGGTGAACTGGACGACCTTCTTTGACTCTGCTGTTGGGCCCTGCGCTGGCGAGGACTCATGGAGGTGTTCTTAGCTACAGGCTGGGCAGGTTGTTGAAGGGATGCTGCTGAGGAGTTCTGGACTGCATACTAGAATGTTTTAAGAAAATTTATTTGAAATTGGCAAAGAAAATTTATACATTACCTATTATCTATTTAAGAATACAAAGAATCATAGAGCACTAAACACAATTAAGGGCTAAACTATCATGAATTATCTAATTGTTGAGACTATTACCCTTCTGAGTTAAGTCAGCAACATTACATATTCTAAGTACTCAACAAATGGAAGAGGAATTTACTAGAAAAAATAAGACAAGGAGAGAGTTTACCCATATTCTCCATAGACAGCTTTCTATACTCCCTCAGTTGTAACTCCAACAGAATTTGCTAGGCATCTGGGCACCTCCCTTCTTCAGAAGAGTCAAGGAGAGAAGCAATTTGGTTTCCAATTTCTGCTTGAAAATTTGCCATTCTAAATGGCAAAAAAAGACAATTCTCAACAGTGTGCCTCTTTAAATATTATCTGACTATGTCAATATGCTTCCATCAATAATCACAGAACATGTAAAATAATTTTAAAACATATGTTCTTCACAGCAATATTGTTGTAAAAATTAGGTGTGGTTTTCCAGCTGGACTTTTCCTTTCTCACAATTCTTGTTAAATGAATTGAACACACGTCTAGAAGAAGCCTTTACTGCATGCTTGAATTGTGTTACTTCATGTGATATCAAGAGTTCTTCAGGGATGTGCTGAGAAAAATTTGGAGGTAGTTGTGGGAGATTCGATGTACCCTCTACTTTGGCATACTAGTTGCTCCTCATAAAGTACTGGATGTCAAATGCTTTCCATCCTTTACTGACTGCTCCATCAAAGCATAACCACAATATGGTACCAATTGAGGCAAAAATCTTAATTATAGCTTATAGACAAGAAAGCTCTTTGATATGAATTCCATTTTATTTGTATAGATACTTTAACTCTACCTGTAACAACAATTAAAGTGGCCTTTAGTTCTCTTACTGAAAATAAGTATATACTGATTATATTAGTGTCAATACACATTCTTCAAATAAAAAATGCATGTTTTATTCAGAATAATTTTAAAAACTGAGCAAATATAAAATACTAGAGGCTCAGTGCACGAAATTTGTGCATAGGGCGGGGGTATGTGTCCCTCAGCCCAGCCTGCACCCTCTCCAATCTGGGACCCCTCGAGAGATGTCCAACTGCCCGTTTAGGCCCGATCCTACTGGCCTAAACGAGCAGTTGGACTTCCCTCTCACAATCCAGGACTTCTAGCTCCCAACCACTCGCCTGCCTGTCTGCCTGATTGTCCCTAACTGCTTCTGCCTGCCAACCTGATCACCCCCTAACCACTCCCCTACCAGCCTGATCGACACCTAACTGTTCCCCTGCTGGCCCGAATGCCCCTAACTGCCTTCCGCTGCTGGCCTGATTGCCTACAACTGCCCTCTCCAACAGGCCATCTTGTGTCCAAATGGAGGTAACCATCTTGTATGTTGGAGTGACGGTCAATTTGCATATGACTCTTTTATTAGATAGGATACTTTCCATTAGAGAAACTTAATATTTAGAAGAAAAAGGAACTGAGTAATGTAATTCAAATATTTTCTAGAAAGGTACAAGGATGGGCTTTGTACTGGCAACAACTATAAACATTAGGGGGAAAAAACTGTTCATCTCAGTTACTTGCAGAAGAAATTACATTTTAAATCTGACATTCATCTCAGCATTAAAAGGCTTAAATAATCTGTATTTCTTAAAACTATCCTTTGAAAGCACTCAAATGTAGTGACCCCATAACACAGCAGTCAAAAAGAACTACTGAGTGTGAGTTAAAAATATGTTAGTGCTAATAGTAAATTAAACTACATGAACTTGGACTCCAGGACTCCCAGGCATAATCTGCTCACTGAAGAGAGCAGATACACAAAGCTGCAGCATTTTATGAGGTCTTACATTGTCCTAGATGTCATGTACTGACTTAATAATAATACTGAGTTGAACTGAGTTACAGCAGCCAATAAAACATTCTATCTGAAATCTGCCATTCTTTCAATTGCTCAGCCAAGATAAAAGCATCTGATAGAGCAAAAGTATCGATACTAAAGGTTTATAAAGGAAGAAAGGTTGTTAAGGAAAATAAAAAACATGAGGTCCTATCAATCCAGAAAGTACCATAAGAGACTAACTCAGCTTAAAGCTTTTATTTTATATACTAGTGGCCCAGTGCATGAAATGCATGCACATTAAAAGGGAATTAGAGAAAATATTTTAATATTGCTATTTACCCTCTCTCTATGATAGAAGTATCAGAGATGAAAGAAAATTAGTAAAATGTATATGAAAATCTCCCTCCTATCAGAGTTTGGGGCATGCAATGGGACCTAGAGTAAAGTTCCCACCACCACCCGCACACGCTTCGAAAATGCAAGAGACCCAGACCCAGGTGGCCCATCCCTGTCACGCCCCTTCAGGCGGGGGCAGTCTCAGCCTCAGGTCCCCTGTCAAACCCCGCTGGGCGGGGGGCACAGCCTGAGGTTCCCCAGCTGGCACTGGGTTGGGGGAGGCACAGCCTCAGGTACCTTATCAAGCCCCTCTGGGTGGGGGGGAGCATGGCCTGCGGTCCCCCATCAAGGCCTGCTGGGGAAGGGGTGCAGCGTGAGGTCCCCCATCCAGCCCTGCCAGGCAAGGGCACAGCCTGAGGTCTCTCGCCCCAGCCAGGCGCCATGCAGCCTCAGGTCCCTGCTGTTCAATCGTGACATTACGGTGTCCTGGCTAATTTGCATATTCATCTATCATATTTTATATATATGTTATTATTTTCCATTAGTTTGAAGGGTAAACATTGTACCTGACTAAAATAGACATGGGCATTGTACCTGCCCATATACCTGACTAAAATAGAAAGCCTTATTATGATTAGGATAGCTCTACCACTTTGTAAACATGTGACCCTAAATAAGTCATTTAATCTCAGCTCCCACATCTGTGCAATGAGGCTAATATCCAATTCAATAGTTGTGAGGATTAAACAGGATAATGATATAAAGTGCTTAGGATAAACAATTGCTTAGTAAATGCTAGTTATTAACATCATTACTATTAATATATTCCTTTGGAGATATCAGATTTAGGCTTAAAAAAAGTCAAGACTTAGAATAGCTGTTTGGACCTTTAAAGTATGATTAATATAGTTAGAACAACAATCCCTTAAAACATTAACTTTAGATGATATTTTAGTACATGTACTTAATGGAAATATTTATATAAATATACTATTTTAATTAGGTTCTATATTTTTCGTTACATTTTAGATAATAAATTACTAAAAGCTAGTGCTGCAGTATTATAAAATTATAAAACTTCTATTTAAAATAATCACATCAAGGAAAAATTGCAACCTGATGCTGAGAACCTAGTTTATTTAGAATTGAAGAACTAATTGGACTAAATTTTTTTTTTAAATATTTTTTTATTGATTTTTTACAGAGAGGAAGGGAGAGAGACAGAGAGCCAGAAACATCAATGAAAGAGAAACATCGACCAGCTGCCTCCTGCACCCCCCCCACAGGGGATGTGCCCGCAACCAACGAACATGCCCCTGACCGGAATCAAACCTGGGACCTCTCAGTCCACAGACCGACGCTCTACCACTGAGCCAAACTGGCTTCGGCTGGACTAAATTTTTAAAAAATGTATTTCTTTATTGATTTCAGAGAGGAAGGGAGAAGGAGCGAGAGATATAGAAACACCAATGATGAGAGAGAATCATTGATTGGTTGCATCCTGCACACCCTGTACTGGGGATCGAACCTGCAACCCAGGCATGTGCCCTTGGCTGGAATCAAACCTGGGACCTTTCAGTCCATACGCTGATGCTCTATCCACTTAGCCAACCTGGCTAGGGTTGGACTAAATTTTTGAAGTTCATACTAAACTGCCAGATGGAGAATCAAGTGAGCTTTAGCATTTTCAAAATGCTTTAAGATTGATGGTAGGACTTCTAAATCCTTGCTGTTTGCCTAAACTTGTTCAAATTATATTACAGATTAAACACAAGTCATAGTAGTTTGCATTTTCTGAAGCAACCATTTCTGGAAAGGTGGACAAATGTGATTTTTTATTTAATTAAATTAAATTTAAGTATTTTTTTTAAAAGCACAGTCAGATAATTCACATAAATTTTCCTATAATAACCTGGAATAATCATCATATGAAGAGTTTTATGTTTGATTTTTAATACAAAATGGAATGGTTTATTCAGAAACTCAATCTTTTGGAAAAGAGAAAAATTTGACAGACTGGAAGAACATAGAACTACCATCAGTATTTTTCCTATTTCTACATGGCTAAAAAATCTGCATGAACAAGTAACAGATGGTCTAATGCTAACTGCTATATTTAGACTTTCGGCAATCTCTCGCCCTCTCAAGGCTAAAAAACAGCTTATCTGTAATTTGATGTGTAACATCTCAGTGAATTATATTACACTTGCATGTAAAACAGTCACCTTAGCCTAAACCAGGTTTCAGTTACCTCCACAGTAATCAGATCATATAATCACACTGAGATTTGTATGTAAATGTAATTAAAAGCTTAACTCACAAATTGTAGACAATTTATTGCTTGTGAGTATTTTAACCAGAACTGGTATCTATGAAATAATTCTAAGTTTTATGTACTTTAAAATAAAAATGAAAAATACAATTGTAATTATAACATTGTTTATGCTAATTTACTTAAACTTCTTGATTTATTTACCTGTATTCCTAGATTTCCAAAAGTGCTAATACTAAAATTTGTTTATTTAATCAACAACTATATATTTACCACCTACTATATACAAGGCACTATGCCAGGCACTGTGGACACAATTCTAATCCTCAAGGAACTTATTCCAATTGTAATTTATTTTAAAAGTAATTATAGACAATAATTAATTATAGACAATAATTAATTATAAAATAAATTACAATTGGAATAAGTTTAAGTAGAATATGCAACAGAGAAACTTGGCACAGATTTAAAGCAAACTAAAGATAAATGTAAACACATCATAAATATTAGGAGATTGTCCTTATTGGTGAAACAAAAATCACCACCTTCCTCTCTGTATAATAGGATGTGGATTGTTTTTTTCTTTTTGTTGTTGTTAATCCTCATCAGAGGATATTTTTTTACATTGATTTTTAGAGAGTTGAAGGGAGAGAAGGAAAGAGGGAGGGAGGAAGAGAGAGAGAAAAAAACACACCAACGTGAGAGAGATACATTGGTTGCCTCCCACACTTGCCCTGACAGGGGTGGGGATTAAACTTGCAACCCAGGTACATGCCCTTGACCAAGAGTAGAACCCACCGACCTCTAACCATCTAACCACTAAGAACACTGGCCAGAGCTTTTTTTTTTTTTTTTTTTTTTTAAATATATTTTATTGACTTTTTACAGAGAGGAAGAGAGGGGGATAGAGAGTTAGAAACATCGATGAGAGAGAATCATCGACCAGCTGCCTCTTGCACACCCGCTACTGGGGATGTGCCCGCAACCAAGGCACATGCCCTTGACCAGAATCGAACCTGGGACCTTTCAGTCCGCAGGCTGACGCTCTATCCACTGAGCCAAACTGGTTTCGGCTTTTTTTTTTTTTTTTTTTAAATAAAAAAACCATTTATGAAATTAAGAAAACAATTTTAATTCTGAAGATGAAAAAACATACACTGACTAAATAAATTCATTATTTTCCTCTATAATTCATAAAATCACATGGAGATCATGTAAAAACAATTTAACTCTCAACACACATTTTTTTCTTGTAGTACCTCCTTCTCCAGTCTTCTAAATAGTACTTCCTTCTAAGCAACCTCTCCCCTGCTTTCTCCAATCTACTTCTCTACCATCTCACACTTTTATTATATTATATTTTATTTTTTTTAAATATATTTTGATTTTTCACAGAGAGGAAGAGAGAGGGATAAAGAGTTAGAAACATCGATGAGAGAGAATCATCGATCAGCTGCCTCTTGCATACCCCCTACTGGGGATGTGCCCGCAACCAAGGTACATGCCCTTGCCCGGAATCGAACCCGGGACCTTTCAGTCCGCAGGCTGACGCTCTATCCACTGAGCCAAACCGGTCCCAGCCCATCTCACACTTTTAATAGGAGAGAGATACTCAACACTATTTAGTCACACGTCACAGCAAATTATTTCTGGATAAAGAGCAAATCTGATTTGCCCAGTTTCTGTTCTAATTTTCCTGACCTTTTAAAACCTCTGCAAATGGAGGGGTAATAGAGATTTGGCTACTACATCAAATAACCTGTTACCAAAAACAAAACAAAACAAAATAAAACACCCAAAGATGGTTCATCTCTTATATATAGAAAGGCCTCATAATCCTATTTAGCAACAATTCAATTACGTATTTTCTTAATTAGTCTCTCTAATGATTTAAACGCCCCCCTCCAAACTTAAAAATAGATCAGGGCACAACTAACAACAGCTATAGTATTCAATGTTTTGTTCAATAATTACTTACTGGACACTATGCACAAGGCAGCACTGTCCAGTAGGAACTTTGTGCAATGATAATAATATTTGATATCTGTGTTGCCCAATATGGTAGCCATTAGGAAGGAAGGCCCCAGTCGGTAGCCAATATGGAAGGCCCTGATCGGCCCTAATCACTGGCCAGGCCTAGGTACCCTACTCATGCATAAATTTCATGCACTGGGCCTCTAGTTCAAACATAAATTTAGATAGCTACATTGGCTGATAGCAACTACACTGGACAGAGTAGATCTAAGGCAAATGTTTTGCTCCAAAGACAGACAGCATATTTAGAAAGTGGTTAATGTATGTATATTGCTTTATTTTTACTGTAGCATTATATTAAAACTAACTTTTCAGAGCAATTTAACAAAATAATTTAACAAAAAACGAAGGCCCAGAAAGTATGAATAACTTGCTCAAGAAAACAAAATTCATTAGAGAGAGAGCTAGGCTAGTATCCAACAGTTAGGAAAACCAAAATAAGCAGATATTTCCTCTAGGGATCTCCTCTTCCTATTGCAAATAATGCTAATGGTTTAGATATATACATATACAAAAGAGAAGAACCATACCGATGTACTGGCAGTAGCTCCCTGGAATGTGGTAGGTATATTGTCCTCTAAATCATTTAGTGAAAAAGGGTGGTTTAAGTCCGACTCAGCAATAGTCTTTCCAGATGAATTAACTTCTGCCTATAAAAAAGGTAACACCCAAGAGTGGTATTATAAAAGGGAATACAAAAACTAACCCACAACCTATCTAAATTCTCTTTCTTAGATTTACTTTAATTGGTACTTTAATATCAATATCAATCAGTTAAGTGTTAAGCACTCATGTGTCCAACACTATGCTAGATATTACAGAAAGACCCACAGACATTCACTGTTCAAGATGTTACTTGGTGAGGAACAAAACTAACACCCACAATTCACAATCCACAATTTCAAAAATCTCTAAAAACTGTGTTTTTCTTTTGTAATTTTCAGGCGAAGCCTGACATATGAGGCTATTAATAGTCTTTATTCTAAGTTGGTGTAGATATTCCCAGGTTTGCTGATGAAATAATGAATTTGATTATGGGATACTGCCCCACGTTTCAATGAGTATTAATATATGGTATATGTTTAATATTTTCTAAAATCTGAAATTCTGAAGTAGAAAACACATCTGGCCCTAAGATTTTCAGAGAAGCAATTTTACATACAATAGGAATCTTCAGAAGGAAGAATCTAACCAACACTTATTAAGCACCTCCTCTTTCAGGCACATAAAATAGAAAGAAAAATTTCTCCCAAGAACTGGACCTTGGAAGGATAGACAGGATGTAGAGAGGTAGAGAAGAGGGACAAGGTAACATGTTGCTTAATGCAGGTTGACATTATTTTATGGAGCTATAGATGTATTTATTTGTTTGGGTAATATATATGTAAAAAAAAAAAAAAAAAGGTTATAAGGGAGATATGCCAAAATAATTAGCAGCACTTATTTCTTGGGGCTGGGATTATATGACTGGTATTTTCTAACTGCTTATCTATATTTTCTATAATAATAGCTAACACTTATTAAGCACCAGGGACAGTTCTAAATGCAATACATTAAATATTAACTCACATAATCCTCATAAGAATCCTATAGGTTAATTACCATTCTGCTAATATTTGCAGGTGAGTAAAAGGCATGAAGTGGCTAAGTAATGTATCTCATGTCCTATTACTAATAAGCAGCAAAGCTGGGATTTGAACCCTGGCATTGTACACTAGAGTCCAAACTTTTAACCACTATGCTATATAATGCCTTTGTGAATAAATTAGTTTTGTGATAAAATTATTTGTAAAAACATTATAGCACTAGAACTATATTACTTTATTTCTAAAAGTAAATAAAAGGGCTACAAAATTTAAATTTATTTATCAATTTAGAGTACCTTAAAACTGATTTGTCTAGCCAGTTCTTTGGCTTCTTGGTCAGCCATGCTTGAATCACTTCCAGATTTTAAAGGCAGCAGGACATCCTTCATGGTGTAGCCACATGCCTCACAACAGAAATCTTGTGATCTGGTAGGAAATAATTTTGATGAGTACAAATCAAATAGTGAACTTTAATTCAAGACATTTAAACAATGAGTGATTAAATTTACAAGAAAATAACACTGTACAATTCCATATCACATTTATCTACATACAAAATAGACAATGATAGCAATAATTATTGTTATGAAACATACATGCAAAATTAGGTTGGTATAAAAATTTCATGTCAATTATATCTCAATATTTTAAAAGTCTAACATTAAACTCCGGTTTAGATTTCATTATTTTCCTAATATACTTTCTAAAGAAAACTAAGCTACAGATTTATATAACAAAAGATATAAACTTCTTACCTACCTGTCCTCAAAATCATATATACCAAGCCTATGTTAAGCCTGTGAAAAAGTCCACTCATTATATAAAGCTCAAATTATTTTTAGGCCAAGACCAGTTTGCCTGCGGATTGAGGGGTCCAGGTTCAATTCCGGTCAAGGGCATGTACCTTGGTTGTAGGCACATCCCCAGTAGGAGGTATGCAGGAGGCAGCTGATGGATGTTTCTCTCTCACTGATATTTCTAGCTCTCTATCCCTCTCTCTTCCTCTCTGTAAAAAATCAATAAAATATATATTTTTAAAAATTATTTTTAGCAGAAACATATATAAAGAAGCCAATTAAAAATAGAATTTACAGCCCAGCCAGTGTAGCTTAGTAGTTGAGCACTGACCTATGAACTGTGAGTTCATGGTTCGATTCCCAGCTGGGGCTCAATCCCAGTAGGGGGGGTGCAGGAGGCAGCTGATCAATGATTGATTCTCTCTCATCATTGATGTTTATATCTCTTTCTCCCTTCCTCTCTGAAATCAATAAAAATACATATTTTTTAAAATTAGAATTTACAGGTATTTCCAGGGAAATAAAACCTCACAAATCCTATTAATCTTAATAGCAAAACAACTTGAAAAGCAAAAAAATGGTGGAAATCCAGACTGAAATTTTCCATTGATTATATTAGATAAATAATCTGTTAACTAAACTTTCCTAAAACTTCTTTTTCTATGTTTTCATTTCCTCCTCTTTATTCCAGATATAGTCAAAAAGTGCCTAAGACTCACAAGAGTGCTGAGGATTTATATGACCAGAAATAAGTATGTTACGTATATTATATAAAAATATGTATTATTACATTGCTGAACTTCCTTTTAAAAACTATTTTACTATAGCCTGGCTGGTGTGGCTCAATGGTCGAGTGTCAATCCAGGAACCAAGAGGTCACCATTGGATTCCTGCTCAGGGTACATGCCAGGGATATGAACTAGATCCCCAGTAGGGGGCATGCGGGAGACAACCGACTGATGATATTTGTCTCTCATCAATGTTTCTATCTCTCTGTTTCTCTCCTTTCCTCTCTCTAAAAATCAGTAAGAACATATTTTTAAAAAACCTGTTTTACTATACATCTAGATCAATGTAATAAAATCCTTATGTCTTTAAAAACATGGTACTTAAACTTACTAAACAGCTTCATGTAAATAAAATATGTCAAATGTATTTACTGATGAATATTTTTTTTGTTTCACCAGAAGTAGCACTGCTATCCATATCCTTTAGAGCAGCGGCTGCCAACCTTTCAGACCTCACAGGCCACCAGCGGCAAACCCTGCTTTAGAGAATCAGTTATATCCAAATATCTGCCTTAAAATGTGTCTACTTTTTTCATTTATATGTTTTTATTTATTTCAGATGGGAAAGTACAACGAGAAAGAAATACCAATGATGAAAATCACTCACTCATCAGCTGCCTCATGCATACCTTCTCTTAGAAATCAAAACTGAAACCCAGGCATGTGTCCTGACTGGGAATGGAAACAAGAACTCCCGGTTTACAGGTTGATGTTCAACCACTGAGCCACATCAGCCAGGCAAAATGTGTCCACTTCTTAAAATACATATATTTTTAATTGATTTCAGATAGAAAGGAAGGGAGAGAGAGAGAGAGAGAGAGAGAGAGAGAGACATCAATGATGAGAGAGAATCATTGATCGGCTGCCTCCTGCACACCCCACACTGGGGATCAAGCCCACAACCTGGGCATGCGCCCTGATCGGGAATTGAACCATGACCTCCAGTTTCATAGGTCAATGGTCAATCACTGAGCCATCTCGGCTGGACAAAAACTGTGTCCACTTTTAACTGAGAAATCAGGTGAAAATTAAAAGAGAATAATTTAAATATATTAGTCTATCCACAAAAAATAGTAATTTACCATGGTTAAATGCAAAATCTGGTTTTTAAAAAACCTCTACTACAGACTAAGAACCTAGAATATATACACTGATAAGTCTAGAGCAAAAGAAAAAACACCCAACTTTTTTTTTTATCTGTACATGAAATGCACTAGATAAAAGTATCAAGACAGAAAGCCAATATAAAAAAATCAAATAAAACAAATTCATGTATTCAAAGTACATACTAAATTTGTGAACAGTAGCTGCAAGTAAGGTATATGCCCAGAACTTGAGAATAGATTTAAAAAGAAACCAAGGAGTCTACCAAATCTTCCAAATACTAAAATCTCTTTAACAAACATGTGTAGAGGGCCTATTCTGGGCTGTACCAGGTAAGATATACTATAGGGGTAGGCAAAAGTAGGTTTATAGTTGTTCATATGAAAAATAATACAATAATTAATAAATAAATACAAAAACTTCCACATCTTTATAACTATAAACCTACTTTTGCCAACCCCTGTATAATTTAATTCATAAAATACTTTTAAAGAATAGAAGGCAGCCAAGTCCAGAACAAGAAAATGATCAAGACTGGCCAGCATGGCTCAGTGGTTGAACCAGGAGGTTACAGTTCAATTCCCATTCAGGGCACAGTCCCGGGTTGTGGGCATGATCCCCAGTAGTGGGCATGCAGGAGGCAGCGATCAATGATTGATGTTTCTATCTTCCCCTCTCCCTTCCTCTCTGAAATAAAAAAATATATATTTAAAAAAAGAAAATGATCAAAATATAAAATTAGTCTTAGCACTACTCAAAGAAGGGAATACTCTAAATCTAATAACTAATCTGGGTTATATAGACAGAATGTACCTGGGAAAAACAGAAAGCAATACCAATGGGAAACAACTTTTTTTTTTTTTTTTGAAACGACAACATAATAAAATTTACTGAGCCACTTGCTATGAGCCAGATACTATAGATACAAGCATGGATAAGTGGATTTCCTTCAGCTCTCAAGAAGTTTTTAATCTTGTAAAAAGCTCCATAAAAATAATGGCTCTAGTTCTTTGCCATCTTTATTACTGTCTCAGTGGAGATGAATGACCTGTCCTATTTTATAGGAGAAGATATCTCCCACTGTAGATTAATTACTTTCTATAATCAATTCTTTAGACTCAGGTCAACACTGAGTAAACTAGCACAACTGGATTTCTAAAAGAGCAAAACTACGGCCAGAGTCTGTAGCAAAGGCAACTCACAAAGTGAGAGGCAGAACCTGTTTCCTAATAGCCATTTTCCAGAAAAATATTTGGGTCTCAACAAAGAATGAAATGCAAAACTTACTTTTTAGCAAGTGCTCTTCTTTCCTCAGGTGTGTAATCTAGAGAACCTATGGCTCCTTCTCCTTTTGTTGGCATAAACCCAATGATGGCTAACAATGCTGTTCTTACTGAAACAAAAAGTAAACATCAATCTAAATTACTTTGTAAAAGGAACCAGATTTACTCTGAAAAGAAAAAAAGATAGTCTTTCACTGAAGAGATACAGGTAGGAGGGTTGTAATAAAATGATGGCCAAAATCTAGGCAAGGAAAAGCATTTTTATTATTTATTTAATAACAAAATTATTTGTCAAAAACAGCTTCAATCTCAAGAAGGTATTATACTTTACAATTAAGAATTGACTAAAGTTATTGTATATAAGATATATTCACTTTAAATTAGTACTCACTACTCCATGAAGGCTGCCAAGTTTCAGGATGATGTCCTGAGATGCTCAAACAGATTTTCTTGCCTACTTCAAATCGTCCATTAGCCTTAGGAATAAATAAGGCATTTAAAAATTATAGATATGTTTAATGTTTTAGACTTTATCCATATAAATATTTTTACATATAAATAAATTTTAAAGATAATTTTAAAATAATGTAATCTCTAAGGGGATACAGATTTTTGTTCTCTGATTGACACTCCACAAATATTTGTTGGATTCTAAGTGAATAATACAAACTGTTTTTAGAAGTTGTAATACTTTTTTGAAATTAAATTATACAACTGAAATCTAAGTAAGTGATAAAGATGTCCTGATGTCCTCCTATGTGCCTAGTATTCTAGGCTCTGTGAAGAATCTAAAATATAAGATGTACAGAGACTAGGATAAAACCTAAGAATTTGATATAATCTAACTAGATATTGGTGAGGAAAGCTCTGAGGTGGGAGTGATTTTCAGAATGATGATTCATAAAATAGGAACACAAAGGAGGAAGATCAGAAATAATGATTTTAGCTTTGGACATTAATCTATTTTTTTTGGGGGGGGAGGGAGAGGAGGGGGAGGGGAAGGAGAAGGAAGGGATGGGGGGGAGGAGGAGGAGGAGGAGGAGGAGAAAGAGGAGGAGGAGGAGGAGGAGAAAGAGGAAGAGGAAGAGGTGGAGGAGAAGAAGAAGAGCTATTGATATCCAGCAGGCAGGTAGAATTATAGGCATGGTGCTATCAGAAGAGGATATACATCTTTGGTACCTGACTTTAGAGAGGTGATTATTAAAGCCATCTCATAGGAAGACAAAAGAAAGCAAAACAGTTAAAGTCTGAACTTGTAGAATATCAATTCTTAGGGAAAGGGGAAGGGAGAAGAGGCATGAATTAGAATATATGTTTCATATGGTCAGAGAACTTGACTTATTCTCTGTTGCACCCACAGAGTGAATGACATGTATTTAATGATTATTTGTTGAATGAAGGTTGGAAAAGAGAGGAACATTTTCAAAAGACAGTAAGTGAACCAGAAAAAGCAAATATTGAAAACCAGGAGGGCAGGACTGATTCTCAACCACTGTGCTAAATATGAACCATACCATTGGTTAACTCTTAAAATATTTCAATATTTCTATACCTATTGGTGAAAAGCTGCTACTCCAACTACCCACCCCCACCAGTTTCCTCATGTACCAGCATTGACCACTTGGCTCTCTCCATGATCTAGCAAAAAAAAAAAAAGTGACTTCTAACACACTGGGCCCCCTCCAAGACCCTGCTCCAGCCCTACTGCTAGTATAACTGATTCTAAATATCACTAATATTTGTTAAGCAACTTCTATATATGAGGAACTTTATAAAGTGTGATTATATTTACCATACACAACCCTTTTGACAGGTAAGAAAACTAAATTTCAAAGAGATTATGTAACCTGCCAATGGTTTAATAGAAATAGCACTGGTCAGAACCCAGGTCTGCTGGCTCTAAACTAATGCTCTTTTCACTTCACCAAATAAAGGTAAAAAGCAGCATTAATTTGATATTTAGTAATTAGTACCTTCCCCCCCCCCCCCCCCCCCCCCCCCCCACTATTTGCTACGCCGTGAGTGTCAGGTTTAACTTAGATGGAATAGGATAAAGACTGAGAAGAGATAGTGGGATTTCTCAAACTGGTCTTTGAGATTAGTGCTGTGAGCGTATATGGAAACCAGACTGCAACAAGCCAACCTAGAGTAAAGATAGGCTATCAAAGAAAAAACAAAAACAGAATAACAACATAGAGTGGTGAGCAGAGATAAAGAAAGGTGTTTATGTTTTGTTTTTGGTGTTTTTTTTTCAAGGTTGGCGTAATCAAACACACTTGTAAAGAAAAGGAATTAGAAAAGGAAAGCTTAACAAGTAAGAGAAGAATTGACTGATGAAACGTGTCTCAGGAAAAAGAAAAAAAAATTACTCATTTTCCTTCACATGGAGATAAAATATGTGGATGTAGAAAGAAATTCTAAGATATAAGTAATAATAAAGCAATAATTTATTGAGGACCCTGTCACTTCTATTTTAAGAGCTACACACGAAAAGAGGTTAAATAGAGATGATGTAATTAAGAGGTACAATAACATTAACAAACCTTTACTGAGTACTTACCATGTGCCAAATACTTTGCCTAACATTTTGCATACATTAATTCACTGAATTCTAAAAACCATACTATGGTAATTCTACATTCATTAGCATTAATAATTCCTATAACGATGGCCCAGTAGCTCAGTTGGTTACAGCATCATCCTAATATGCTAAGGTTAGTGTTCAATTCCCCATAAGGGCACATATAAGAATAAACTAATGAATGTATAAATAAGTGGAACAATATCTCTCTCCCCCCTTCTCTCTCTCAACAATAAAAATAAAAATAAAAAATTCTATAAGTTAAATTTGGGGGGGAAATTATAGTACCAAGGCCTGGTTCCCAAAAGCAGCCACTTTACTTCTTTTTTAAAATTTTTAAAAAAATTTTTGGAGGGAGAAAGAGAAACATTGATGTGAGAGCAAAACATTTATCAGCTGCCTCCTGCATGCCCTCCAGTCAGAGCCCACACCAGGCATGTGCCCTGACTGGGAATCGAACTGGTAAGCTTTCAGGGTGCAGGACAACCACCAACCAACTGAGCCACACCGGCCAGAGTCTACTTTATTTCTTAATGTAGATGAGTATGTTGACCATATTTTGCAGCCACCATAAAGAGTAAAAACCACAAGCATTTCAAAAAGCCAAGAATTCTTACCGTTAGAAGAATAATGCTTGGTGGTTTCATGGGATACTCTGGTGGTAGTACTATTCGTCCATGATAAACTCCTCCATCAAAATCAGAATCTGGGGGCCCTCTAACTGTGAAGTGCCATTCAAAAAGATTATCCTGAACAAAAACAATAACCAACAAGGCATCAGTAATATTAAAGTTTGACCATCTTAATTAAATACTATTAGAAAGATTACTGGGTGAGAAAAAGTAGTATTTTATATTATTGCTATTAGAACAGTGCATTTCTTTCTTTTTTTTTATTGATTTTTTTTTTTTCCCACAGAGAGGAAGAGAGAGGGATAGAGAGTCAGAAACATCGATGAAGAGGGAATCATCCATCAGCTGCCTCTTGCACACCCCCCACCGGGGATGTGCCCACAACCAAGGTACATGCCCTTGACGCCCTTGACACCCTTGACCGGAATCGAACCCGGGACCTTTCAGTCCGCAGGCCGACACTCTATCCACTAAGCCAAACCGGTCTCGGCAGAACAGTGCATTTCTAATGCACAAAATGTCTCAAGTTATAAAAGTTATAGTTTTCATGGGCCATAGAGCTAAATCTTTTTAAACAAATGCTTAAAATATTTGAGCATTGTTATGTATTCATAAATAAGGACATAGGTTTTATTAAGCTACAAATTAGTTCTTGAATACTAATTAATGATCAATACTAATTATATAATCAATCCTTGAATAACATGGATTTGAATTGCATGGGTCCACCTATACTCTATTTTTTTTCAATAAATACATACAGCACTATAAATGTATCTTTTCTTCATTATGACTTTCTTAATAACATTTTCTTTTCTCTAGCTTACTTTATTGTAAGAATAGTCTATAACATATATAAAATACAAAATATGTGTTAATTGACTATTAATGTTATCAGTAATGCTGCTGGTCAACTATATTAGTAGTTAAGTTTTGAGGGAGTTAAGTTATATACTGATTTGGGGCTCCAATCCCTGCATTGTTCAAGGGTCAACTGTATAATCAAATAATTAATAAAAATTTGGATTGTTTTACAATCTTTTACATTAACCCTTAAAGATACCTAAACACTTACTTAAAAGGTTAATAATATTAATACATTGCTATCAACATTTTACAGTTACCATGTACTTTAGAGTTTGCAAACTATTTGCGCATACATTATTACATTTTATTCTCACTATTACCATGGAAGCCAGACTAAGCACATTTAAAAACCCTCTTTTTACAGATAAGAAGACGAAGAGAGTTAAGAGATGTTTATACAAAAAGCTCACACTAGCTGCAGAGATTCCCTCACGGGACCAGGTCTTCAAAACTGTAAAAAGTATTGTTTTCTTTCCACTTTCCCTCCTCATATTCAAGACCTAAAACCAATTTAGCTTCTGAGACCCATTTTACAGAGGTCAGAAATCTGCTTCTTATAAAATGTCTGATTCTGATTGGCTAATAGGAAATTGGTCATTCAGGAAATACTAGAAGTAAAATATACTAATAAACCACATCAAACACATCTGTAATGACTCAAAGCAATGAAAAAACAATTCTAAGAAATTTGTTTAAAATATTAAAATCCATATGCAGAAGATGGAGACAGAAACTAACCTCCAAAGGTTGTGCATGATAATGATCTGTTGGATCTTTCAATTCTGCCGCTTCTTTCATTAAACGTTTAACAGCTAAAATAAAATTCATAAGATACAGACATTTAAAATATACTTTACCAAGTGATTTAATCAGATTTACAACCTAATGAAAAAGTTTCTACTTTAACAAAACATATATAGAGAGGATTGGCTCAACTGAGTGTAAGATAAAGTTTTAATTATGGGATAATAGTAATCATTGGAGAAGGAGAGGAAATGGTAGGTAGGCATTAGGAGAGTTATGTATTAAATATATAGGTAAGTCCGATAAAGACACTTTTTATTAGTAAGTCCTTATATATACTTCCTATGTGGTAGCACTCAAACAATCCTCAAAACATTGCTATGAGACAGAAAATCTCTATTTTCTAAGACAAAGAAACTTGTCCAAGGTCACACAACTAGTAAGTGACAGAGCTGGAATTCCAACACAGACAGTACAACTCCACCATGTTTAAATGTCTATATTAACAAAAACATGCCCTCTGGAACTAACTCATTCTCATGAACAGTAACTCTCCCCACCCCCATATTTTTCAACCTCTTGAGACTTTTCACCCAATATTTTGTATTAACTTAATGGGACTGTCTTCAGAGGTCACTTTATTCCATAGCCCTAATTGATTTTCTTTTTGAAATGATTCTTCACTTCAATTAAAACCTATAATTAACATCTGAAAGAAAGACAATAGGAATTAGGCAGGTGGGTATGAATAGGCAGAGAAACAATAAAAGTAAAATGTGTAGAGGCACTGGATGAAAAGTTACCAGGAGAGATTAAGAATTAATTCCCACACAATATTATAATGTAATATGCATCATGTCTCTTGCATAAAATTTCATTTTAGCCCTGGCCTTTTTGGTTCATTTGGTTGGAGCATCATCCTGTGCACCAAAGGGTTGTGGGTTTGATTCCCAGTCATGGCAGATACCCAGATTGTGGGTTCGATCCTTGATCAGGATATATGTGGGAGGCACCTGATTGATGTTTCCCATATTAATGTTTCTCTCTCTCTCTCTCTCTCTCTCTCTCTCTCTCTCTCTCTCTCTCTCTCTCTCTCTCCCCTCCCCCCCCCATTCCCCTCACCCCTCTCACCTTTCTTCTCCCTCTGAAAACAATAAAAACATGTCCTTGGGTGAAGATTAAAAAAAAAACACCAAAGTATGCCCTAACCGGTTTGGCTCAGTGAATAGAGCATTGGCCTGTAGACTGAAGGGTCTCAGGTTCAATTCCGGTCAAGGGCGTGTACCTTGGTTGTGTACACATTCCCAGTATGGGGTGTGCAGGAGGCAACTGAATGGTGCTTCTTTCTTATCGATATTTCTCTCTATCCCTTTCCCTTCCTCTCTGTAAAAAACAAACCAAAAAAACAATAAAATATATATTTTTAAAACACTCCAAAGTTCTTAAGTCACTATCTTATTCCATAATAATAATTACTTATTTTTTGTATTTATTTTTGGATTTTGCTTGTTAATCCTCACCCAGGGATATTTTTCCTTTTTTTTTAAGAGTGTGGAAGGGAGGGGAAGAGACATTCACATGCTCAGATGGGCCTGGAGATCATGCAACCAAGGGACGTGCCCTTGACAAGGAAATGAACCCGAGATCCTTCAGTCGAAAGGCTGATGCTCTAACCACTAAGCAACTGGCCAGGGTCTATAATTATTAACATTCTTTTCCATCCCCTTCTCTGAACTAGGCCCCTGTAGGAACTCCGCTCAGCCAGAAGCCAGGTTCGTGGCTGGCAAGCACAGCGGCGGGAGCGGGAGCCTTTCACGCCTCTGTGGTAGAGGTAAGGATCCCTTGGCGGACATCCACCGGGAGAGGGTACAGGCCAGAAGGAACCTCCCTCCCTGGGGCACAAATGTTGTGCACTAGGCAAATGTTTAACAAAAGATAAAATCCTTTGTCCAAAGAAAAGCTTAATGAGAATCTCAATACATAAAACAGATACCCTGGCCTTAACCTCTTCCTCTTCCTGTTCAGTGGTTAGTAGGGGTAGGGAACGTCCAGTCCTTGAGCTGTATAAGGCCCAAGAAATCATTTGGTCTGACTCTGCCAAGGCATTATGGGTAAATTAAAATTTTGACCAAATGTACCAGGCTAATTTATGATTAAATTTTAAATTAATTGTTTGACCAAATATATTAGGATAACTTTGCATGGCCCTTGAGTGGTATTATAAATATCCAAATGGCCCTTGGAAGAAATAACATTCCCCACCCCTGGGTTAGAGTGTCAACCTGTGCATTGAAGGGTCCTAGGTTCAAATCTCAGTCAAGAGTTCCTTCCTGCCCCTGGTAGAAGACAACCAATCAATGTGTCTCTCTCACATTGATGTTTCTCTTTCCCCCTCTCCCTTCCACTCTCTCTAAAAATCAATGGAAAAAATATGTTCGGGTGAGGATTAACAAAAAACAAAACAGGTAACTGAGCTGTTTTGGCTGAAGCCACCAATATGGAAGGAACTGCCAACTATTCTATCTAAGGGAACCATGGATCAAGGATTGAGAATCCCTAGTTTGGAGCACGTAAAATATCCTTATTTTAAATTAATATTATTATATATAAGTAAAATCATGTAAGCTATTGCAAAGTTAATTAGTTTGGCTGCTGTACACAATCAAAATGCCAAGGAGATTATTTTTTCTTCATTTCTTATCAGCTAGCTGAATAATGGTTAAGTTGACAAGGTCAGATTTTATGTCATTTCAGTTGGAGAGAAGATAATAAACACTCAATAGTACCTGGATATTATGAGAGATATATGAAAGGATCAGAAATGCTACAACAACGCATTTAAAGAAACAATCATTCGCTTAATAACTAAACATGTCACTTAATAACTAAACATTATTTCATAGGTCACATAGGCATACCATGTGAGAGCTAAAGCCACACAGCCAAATATAAAGTGGCTATTTGACAAATAGAGGTTATTCTAGTGCTTTCATAATCTATTTTTTCTGAAATAGCATATATTATGGATATGCTTTCATGAAAAAGAGCATTGACTCCGGAATTAGAATTGAATTAAAATACTGGCTCTGATTCCTTAGGCCTAAATCATTGGACAAATCAATCTTATTCTGCTTCAATGTTTACATCTGTCAAATGGGAGTCAACTATTCACATATTTCTTCTTTCCTTTTCACCCATCCCTTTTCCCCAGATCACAAGTTATCAAGGTCAGAAATAAATTGCAATAGAAGGCCCATTCAATTCTGTTTCAAAATCAGGACTTGAGCATATGTAGTTGGCCACAGGGCATGGCTACCTGGCTCCCAAGGAAAAATATCACTGCTATAGAATAGTCAAGATTCAAAGTACTGACTGGCAACTAAGACTAAAGCATAGTCTACCACTCCTTATACTCCGTCTCTTGCTACTATTGATACTTGGCTACAGAGAAAACTTTTCCCCCATCAGCTCCTTTCTTATCTCTTTGCAAGATTATTCAGTTCTCCTATCATGGTGAGATAAGATGTTCCAGAAAAGGGGAGAGGGCTGGGGAGCACCTGCTTGGCTGCTCTTGTTCTTTCTTTTCATGGAGGTCACATGATCACTCTGGATTCAAGCTCTACCATAGGCCTAGGCATTTGCATTCTGCACATGCCCAGGCTAGCTCACTGGGTTTATTTTATGGTTTGGAGACAAAGCTCCAGCTAAGGGGATCTTTTACAGGTTACTGTTTCTCCTGCATCTATTTCTTTATGAAGCAAATATCCTGATATCATCATCTCCAAAGCATGGGTAAAATGGAAAAGAGGCAGGTGTATTGAGGATTTAAACCCAACGCCCTGCTCCCCAACCACCTCTTCCTGTTCCCATAGGAAGGCACATAAGCAAATATTTAAGGACTAATGTTTCTGTCCAGAAAAACCCTGTAAATGTATCCATTCAATAAACATTTAAAGAATATCTGAGCAATGGAAATAGAATGACCAGGATTTGCTTCTTGCCTTCAAAAAGCTCACAGTGAGCCGAAACCGGTTTGGCTCAGTGGTAGAGCGTCGGTCTGCGGACTGAAAGGTCCCAGGTTCGATTCCGGTCAAGGGCATGTACCTTGGTTGCGGGCACATCCCCGGTAGGGGGTGTGCAAGAGGCAGCTGGTCGATGTTACTCTCTCATCGACGTTTCTAGCTCTCTATCTCTCTCCCTTCCTCTCTGTAAAAAAATCAATAAAATATATATTTTTTAAAAAAAGTTCACAGTGAGAAAGACATGAAAACAATTACAAACACTGACCAAGTATATACAAATATAGGGACCACCTTAGGCTGCCTACAGGAGCTGGACAATATTGAACCTTAAAGAAGCCTAAACAATTAACAGGACTTTCACATAGATTAAAGGGAGGATATTCCAAGCAGAGGTCCCAATAGGGACCAAGGCATAGAGGTGAGAAGAGCTGTTCTATCTGGGGACACTCAGACAAATACACTGAGTGGCCAGATTATTATGATCTCTGAACACATAACAATCTGGTCACTCAGTTTATATATATTAGAGGCCTGGTGCATGAATTTGTGCATGGGTGGGATCCAGCCAGCCTGGCCAGGGGGAGGGGACATGGGCAGTTGGCCAGCCTAACTGCTGGCCAAACTTCTGGTGGAGGGGACAATTTACATATTACATATTACATATTAGCCTTTTATTATACAGGATATACACTAAGCTAGATTATATGCATTCTGAGATCATAATAATCTGGCCACTCAGTGTAGATAGATGGTAAAAATGCAAAGGAGCATAGGAGTGGTAGCAATTCAGGTTGGTGAGAAAAGCAAAGATCAAATCATGAACAGCCCTATAGGTCAAGCAAAACAATTTACTTTGAACTGTACCCACAGCTAACAGTAATATACTAAAAACTTCTCAATTTGAGGAATGATATAATCAAGTTTTATTTTGTTTTGTTTTCATTGATCTGGTGGCAATAGTGACTGGTTAGATATATATGTGTTTGCATGTATTAGTACCCATGCCTGTGTGTGAGAGAGTTTTAGGGTAGGGGGTAAAGAAATAGGCCAAGAGATCAAAGATCACTACCATGGACAATTGGGTGCTATCAATCCCTGGGATAAGGAACATTAAAGTGAGGTGCAAGTTTGGGGGAGGTGAGAAAACTGATGTTTTGTGTTTATATGTTTAGATATTTTTTTGGTCTGTGGGAAATTTGGATAAAGATATTAAATCACCATTAAGTTGTATTTATCTGCAGCCTAGAAGAAGGATCTGAACTGAATATTAAAGCTTTGAGAATGATTAGCATGAGGTGCAGTTGACGCCAAGGGATGGACAGGATAACTCCTAGGTTTCTGATAGAGGCAGTGGGTGCCTTTGTACCAGACTCTCGTACATACACTAGTCATCTGCTGAACATGTCCATCAGCCCCTTCTGAAGAAAGCTGCCACAGGAGGTTCTTTACACATAAGTCTCCCTATTTTGTACTCTGACACCCTACTACGTTAGCCAGAACAGACCAAAAAAAGAATCAGGGAGCTTGATCCAGAGGCAACTACTGATAGGTAGTCAGAGGACTTATGAGGTGGCCCCAAACAAGTCCATTCACAAAGAAATGAACAAATTTACTACCCACACGCTAGCACACTGGCCCTTAACCAGTTATCTTTATTGTCTCAATTATCCTATCATACTTCTAAGACAACTAACTCCTCGTGAGAGAAAAAGGATTACATCTCTTACAGTGTTTTTAACAACTTCCTTTCATATATGCATTACTCTAAAAATATCACAGGACTGAGAATAAAAAAACAAAGGAAGTAATTTCATTATGCCTCCTAGCATTTTCAAGTCCCTTCTCCATGAACTCAAAAATGATCCACACAATAACAACAATAACAAAAAAAATGTTTTGTTTTTGTTTTTGTTTTTTGCCGAAACCAGTTTGGCTCAGTGGATAGAGCGTCTGCCTGCGAACTGAAAGATCCCAGTTTCGATTCTGGTCAAGGGCATGTACCTTGGTTGCTGGCACATCCGCAGCAGGGGGTGTGCAAGAGGCAGCTGATAGATGATTCTCATTGATGTTTCTAACTCTCTATCCCTCTCTCTAAAAAAATCAATAAAATATTTTTTAAAATGTGTTTTTTTTTAATTCTCTCTAGAACAGTAACATCACCTTTGAGGAAATGAAACAAAAAAGAGGAAGCAAATTTATTACACAGCTAGAAGCATGTTGGGCCAAAACTCAGCCTACTGGCAATAGGTCATATTCTCTGGAAATATGCAAAATTCTGGGGAGTATTAAATGCTTACCATAACCTCAGGTATGATGACTTATAAAATTGAGCAATGTCTTCTGACAACAGTCTCCATTCCAAACTGTACTGTTATCTCTGGACATTCCCAGAGTACTTCAGGTGCCCTAAGGAACTTGGTACCATGTGACCAAGGAGTCACCAGACATTTTTACCCCTCCCCCCATTTTATATAAATCTGCCACAATCTAAATAACTTCACCATCTAGCCTGGTTTCCTTCTTTCTCTTGGACCTCCCCCCCCCCCCCCCCCCCCCCCCCATTCTTAGGAGATGGGTTGGAGGAGCCAAGCTGTAACCACACTGAAATTGAACTGGAGAGCCACGGCCTTCACCAGGTTTTTAAAGGGTGAAGGCCCCCACGTGTTATGACCTATTCATTCTACACATTTGGTCACCAAAGAACATTTCTTAGCTTGACAGCACTCAAGTCACCAAAAGCTCTGTGCAATCATTATCCTCACATTTTTTTTTCTGGAGCCTTTGCATATTCTCACGTATTTTTGTTAGAAGAAGAAGAAGAAAAACACAAAAAACAGAAAGCAATAAGGGTTGGTCAAACCAACCATTACTGATATTATCTTTTAGAGCTGGACTGTGGCATGTCTCCCTCGCGACAAACGTATCACGACGGTACAGACAGAATAAATACTATTTATTGTGACTCATCCCAAGCCTGCCTTCATCAGATTTAAACCAAATCCTCCAAATGCCAGAGGCAGGCCGCTAATAAAAGCCCGGCGGCGGCGGCGACAGCGAAGAGACGACAGTGTCCAGGAAGCAGCCGAATCGGGGGCTGAGGGTCCCCATGGGCATCATCCTTACACCTGTTCTCAGGGAGGATTTCATAACCCAGCTCCCCGCGGCGCCGATGAGGGCAGGGGCGGGGGGCCGGGGTGCTGGGGGGCGCGGGCCCGTCCCCGGGTTTGGCAGCCGGTGCCGCCGGCCTCCCTGCCCCGCGGCCTGCACCAGCCCGGCGGGCGGCGGGCTCGCGTAGAGCGCGACGCCGCGAGAGGAGCCGCGAGTGGCGGCGGACACGATGGGGACCGCAGGGCCCGACCCCGGAGCCCACGGCCGCTCGGGCCCACCCCGCCAGCGCCGCCTCGGGTCCCCGCCCGGCTCACCCGGGCTCTTGAGGTTGTAGCGGGTCTCCATGACTAGTCGCTGCCCGGCTCCAGCCTGCACTCTGCGGCGCGGAGACTCGGCCTCCGGAACCAGGCCCTGGGAGTCCGCAGACACCGCCCAGCGCCGCCACCAGCCTGCGGATGGACGCGGTGCGGAGGGTGCGGGCGGGGCGGAGGGCGCGGCCTTCCCCGCTGTCCCCGCCTCCCTGTGGGCCGGGCGGGCGCCGGCGCCGCCGGACGTCCCCGAAGCGGGCGCGGGCCGGAGGGCAGCGTCGGGATTGGCCACGGGCGTCCCCGCCCCGCCGGGTTTGTGAAGTGGCCCTGACGTGGCAGTGGCTTCGTGGCGGCCGGTCAGCGCGGCCGGCCGGCCGTCACTCTGTCGCCGCCGCCGCCGCCGCCGGCCCCCGCCAAGGCCGCTCCGGGGTCTGCAAGAGCGGGCGACGCCCTCGTCTTCCGGTCGCCGCTGCTCCGGGGCGGCCGACCTTCCGCCGGGCCCATCCGGGGACCCCAGCGCTGCTTCGTTTTTAGATCCAGTGGCTGTTGGGGCTGAAAAAAGCTGTTCAGTAGGGAATTTCAGTGATGAGGAAACTGGATAGGATTTTTATAGCAGTTTATTTTCAGATAATAGGCTTAGGTGCCATTTTTCACTTTAAAAAAAATGAATGAAAACCTGTAAAAAAAAAAACTATGATAATTACATTGAATGTGGGTGAATGCATACAAATAAGAAAGGCAACACCTCAAAGGACATCCCCTTCATGGTTTATTGTGGAAAAAGAATGGGATGGAGAAGAGGACTGGGTTCTGAAGACTAAAAAGAGGAGCAAGCAATTAAGACCAGAGGGGGAGAGGGGTTGGGATGGTGGAGAGCAGGAGAGGGGAAGGGAAGAATTCTAGGTGAGGTGAAGAGGGTTAATCAGGATGGGCAAGTTTTATTGTCAAAGATGGAAAACTCGCTTTTTGAAGGGTGGCAGAATAGGACACCTCAAAATATGCCTCTTTGGGATAAAGGTTATTATGATTTTTTTTTTTTCTAGGTGGAAGTTTTTTATTAGGTGCTAGAGGCCCAGTACACGAAATTCATGCACAAAGTAGGGTACCTAGGTCTGGCTGGCTATCAGGGCCAATCTATGGGTTGATCTTGCTGGCCCCACCTTCCACCACCACTGCTAGTTACCTCCCTCTGCAGGGCTACTGGCAGCCTGGAGCCTGCCGGCTATGGGCAGCTCCTGTGTTGAGCATCTACCCCCCGGTGGTCAGTGTGCATCATAGTGATCAGGAGTCCCAGTTGATTTGCATATTAGGCTTTTATTATATAGTACTAGGGGCCCCCAGTCCCTTATATGTTGGCAGCCCCACTCCCACTGTTGCCAACCCATGCACTGACAACCCTATTCCCACCTGCTGATGGCAAAGAATGATTGGGGCTGGTGCCAGCAGCGGGTGCAAGCTGTGGCTGCTGCCCTGATCACCCCCCAGGAGCAAGGGGAGGTGGAGAAGCCCTTACAGCGATTAGGGCTGATAGCCGTCACTCGTACCCACTGATGGCGCTGAGCAATCGGGACCAGCACCAGGCACTGACAGTGGGTGTGAGCCATGGCTCTGGCACCCATAGTAGGTGCAAGCACTAGGCAGCACTACAGCTTGTGGGAACAAAGAATTTTCAGTAACCACCAGAGGCTCACCCTGATGACAGTAACCAGTGCCCCACCTTGGTCTGGTGCCCCCCCCCCCCCCCACCAGTCCACCATCCCGCCCCAGCTGCCGCCTGCCATGTTCCACACATGCCTCCTGGTGGTCAGCACATGTCATAGCAACCAGTTATTCTGCTGTTTGGTCTATTTGCATATTAGCCTTTTATTATTATTACTAGGGTCCCGATGCATTAAATTTGTGCTAGGGGGAAGGGGGGGTTCCTCAGCTCAACCTGCACCCTCTCCAATCTGGGAGCCCTCAAGGAATGTCCTACTGATAGCTTAGGCCTGCTCCCGTGGTTCTCTGCTCTCTGCAAACCTGCCTGCTTAGCACCACTGCAGGCCCTGGTGTCTGCTCTCTGTGGGGGCCTGCTTGCCATTAGCAGCCTGAGTCAGGGGCAAGCAGGGCTCTGCTGTCTGCTCGCTTGCTGTCGGGGACCTGCCCCTGGCTTCCTGCGCGTGTAGGCCCAGAATGGCTGGAGGATCATCCTGGGACCCCAGCCACTCCAGGCCTATGCGCAGGCCTACAAGCTCAGAGTGGCCTAGCTCTCGATGACGCCTGTTCCCTGGACATGGGATGCTTGGCGCCAGCACTCGCATAAGCAGCTGCCTGGCAGGAACATCCGCCACATTGCCATGGCGATGCTGCAGATGTTCCCGCCCCACCCCCGGCTGCTCCATACTTGCGCACATAGGCCCGAAGTAGCCAGGGGTCGTTCCAGGACCCCAGCTGCTCCAGGCCTATGTGTGAGCCTACAGGTTCAGAGTGACCTGGGTCCTGAGGACGCCTATCCCCAGGACACAGGCTGCTTGGTGCTGATGCACGAGGAAGCAGCCACCCTGCCCTCAGCCACTCTGCGCCTGCGTATGCAAATTAACCCACAGCTTTGTTGGGTTAATTTGCATACTCATGATTGGCTGGTGGGTGTCTCGGGGTACAGTCAATTTGCAGACTAGCTTTTTTTTTTTTTTTTTTTTTTTTTTTTTTTTTAATATAGGTTAGGCAAGGAGGGTGGTGATAGGGTGGGCCTCAGCTTCTGATGCTGGTGGGATGATTACTGATGTGGCTTGTGCTTGTCCCTCCTCTCCAGCTAACAATTTCTCTTTTGGTCCTCCTGCCCATAATAAAAGATTATTAGTGATAGCCTGAAAGTTGAACCTACCAAACTTTTCTTTACTAACCATCTGTTTTTCTTATCCGGCAGTGACACTTTGAAGCCCCCAATTACTTCATCCCTAGCTCAGAATATCTTACATACCTAGATCTCCTCCTCCTATCTTTAAACTGCTTGTGAATTTGGGATCTGTGATTCTGTCATGTATGCAAAGTTCCAGTACATAATAATAAATTTGGTTATTTTTCTCTTGCTGATCAGTCTGATGTCTACTTGATTATTAAACCAGCTGAAAGAAGCTTGAGAGTAGAGGAAAATTTTCCTACCCAACACATACATCAACTCACTTATTCTTCACAACAGCCTTGGCAGTGTCACAGATTGTTAACAAAAATTCCAAAAGAAATTAAGAGTTTTATTCATATCCTAGAGACCCAGTGGACGAATTTGTGGGATCCAGCCAAACTGCCTTGATTGGGGCCATCAGGCTGGACCGACCAGGGGGAAGGGCCATGGGCAGTTGGCCAGCCAACACCGCCCCCTGGTCCAACTCCCAGTTGAACTCCCAGTACAGGGGGACAATATGCATACTAGCCTTTTATTATATAGGGTGATTTGTAAATTAGAGAAAATAGGCCTTGGTATGAACCAAAAATTCCTTCAGGGATTGGGGGGCTGGGAGAGAAGAGGGTTTTTAAAAGGAGAGAGTTGGTAGGAAAACAAGGTTATAAACTTGTATCATTCATTTTCTGATTGGTGGGGGTAACTGAACTTTCAATGCTAATAAACAATGGGTGCATATAATTAAGTGTTTATGAACATCCTAGTTTCAGTTCAGACTCATAGAACAAAGGCTTTGGTTAAGCAGTTCCAGGGGGTGTTGCTTATCAAGCACATAGAAGGTACAATTACCAAATAGTGCAGTCAGCACAGGAGGGCTGCTTGCTCTGCAAGCAGTTTCAGAGTCAAAAAGGGTAAAGTTGTACCTCATAAGCAGCTTCAGAGTTCAAGCTGCAAAAATCCAATGTTGGCCATTAGTTGTGGTATTAAAGTTATCATAAGTCCTCATGAATTGTACCCATTTTATAGATGAAGACAATTGACATCTCAGAAAAATCAAGCAATTTCCTTAAATTCTCGGGTCTTTTTTTAACTACAAGTTTTTATCCTTCGGCATATTATTTTATCAAATTGATGAAACTTTTCTAGATTCTCATTTATGTCTTGTAATGATTTGAATACTTTGAAATTTATTTTATAGAGGTCCTCCAGGTTTCATTGACTTATTTAAGGCTTATTTATCTAGAAAGTAGAAGAATCCTGACTGAAAAAGTCCAGGTCTTCCAACTCTGAAATCTGGATTGTTTTCGCTATGGGAAAAATGAATTAGGATGTCATGCAAGAACTTTTTTTTTTTTTGCACCACCATTTGAAAACAGGGATATGTTTCTTAGAAATTATCAGAGCTATTCTTGGACCACATACTTTAAGATATGTATTCTTCATCACTTAAAAGTTTTCTTATTTTTTAATTTTTTTTCTTAGTCACAAAAATAATACATGATTGTGTCCAATATTTGGAATATGAACAAAATGCAAATTTCCATAATCCCCCTACTCAGAAATGGCCATGAGGAACATTTTAGTGTATTTACCTTAAGCCTTTATTTATAAAGCACAGGTATTTGAACAGTTAAAATTCCATTGCATATACTTTTTAAAATACTATATATATTTTATTGATTTTTTACAGAGAGGAAGGGAGAGAGATAGAGAGTTAGAAACATTGATGAGAGAGAAACACCAATCAGCTGCCTCCTGCACACCCCCCTCTAGGGATGTGCCTACAACCAAGGTACATGCCCTTGACCGGAATCGAACCCGGGACCCTTCAGTCCACAGGCTGACGCTCTATCCACTGAGCCAAACCAGTCAGGGCACATATACTTTTTTTATACTAAAAATATCTGGTGTAAACCAAGAAAGAGTCTTAAACTAAAAGAAAACAAAGAAAGTCAGGGCTTATCAAGGCTCCTTCTCAATCTGGCCCTCTTAATGTAAGTGAAGGATTCTGGTTAGGTTAACTGGGATTGGCTGAATTTAAGACACAAACCATTGGCAAAATGGTTGGTTCCTTTCAAAGTAAAGAATGTGGTGGATGATCTAGGATCTGTTTGTGATGGTGAGGGAGAGATGAAGCCCAGGCATGGCTGAGTTTAAACGTTTCAGGAGAGCTCTTTTTGCCATCTTGGAGCAGTGGAGACCTGGGAACAGAGCTTCTCTAATGACAAGTGTGTGTGGAAGGCTGTGGTCAAAGGACACGTTTTTACT